TCTGATAAGAACTTGCTTCAGGACAGGTGAGGTGGCTCACACCTGTAATCCCAGCACTGGGAGGCTGAAGTGGGTGGATCACCTGAGGTCAGGAGTTTGAGACCAGCCTGGCCACACGGTAAAACCCCATCTCTACTAAAAATACAAAAATTAGCTGGGCATGACGGTACATGCCTGTAATCCCAGCTTCTTGGGAGGCTGAGGCAGGAGAATCGCTTGAATCTGGGAGGCAGAGGTTGCAGTGAGCTGAGATCATGCCCCTGCACTGCAGCCTGGGCGACAGTAAGTCTGTGTCAAAAAAAAAAAAAAAAAAAAAGGTGCTGGGCACGGTGGCTCACGCCTGTCATATCAGCACTTTGGGAGGCCAAGGCGTGTGGATCACCTGAGGTCGGGAGTTCAAGACCAGCCTGGCCAACATGGAGAAACATCATCTCTACTAAAAATACAAAATTAGCCTGGCGTGGTGGTGCGTGCCTGTACTCCCAGCTACTGGGGAGGCTGAGGCAGGAGAATCGCTTGAACCTGGGAGGCAGAAGTGGTGGTGAGCTGAGATTGTGCCACTGCACTCCAGCCTGGGCAACAGAGTGAGACCCGATCTCAACACAAAAAACAAAACAAAACAAAAAACCCAGTAATGGTGAAAACTACAATTACTTCTGCACCAACGTAATACATCCACAGTGATCTTATTTCTGAACAAAGTCACATTCTGAAGTACTAAAGGATAGAGCTTCAATACAGGAAGTCTGGGGGGACATAATGCAACCCATGATATACCCATTCCCACATCTCTCCAGCCCCTGGCAACCGGCGATGTGCTTTCTGTCTCTGCAGATTTGCCTGTTCCGGACATTTCCAAGAAATGGAATCCTATACAATGCATCCTTCTGTGTCTGGCTTCTTCCACTCGGCATCCAGTTTTTGAGGTCCATCCACTTTGCAGCGGGTGTCACAGCTTTTGTCCTCTTTAGGGTCAGGGGACTTTGAAAGAAGTATCTAAATGCATCAACTGCTTCGTGGACTCTGCACTCAGGGCTTAGGATTGGACATGCTAACTGCCTTAGAGCATTTCCTCCGTATGCACACGTGCACTCGCGCGTGCACACACACACACACACACACACACCCACACACCTGTGTGCACAGGAACTTAATCCACCCAAGTAACTTACCTTTATAAAAATGTTGCTGTCCAGGCACAGTGGATCACCACCTGTCATCCCAGCACTTTGGGAGGCTGAGGCAGGTGGATCACTTGAGGTCAAGAGTTGGAGACCAGCCTGGCCAACATGGTGAAACCCCCTCTTTACTAAAAATACAAAAATTAACCGGGCATGGTGGCACGCACCAGTTTATTCAGGTGGCTGAGGCATGCTTGAAGGAGAATCACTTGAACCTGGGAGGCAATTAACATAATTTAACCCACAAATCAATTTAACATAACAGGTTTATGAAAGGTTTGTTTCATGTGTCAGTGGGAGCACGTGGCTATGGACTCATTTTTTTTTTTTTTTTTTTTAAGCAAGGTCTCACTGTTGCCCAGGCTGGAGTGCAGTGGAGCAACTGTTGCTCACCGAAGCCTCCAACTCATGGGTTCAAGAGATCCTCCCACCTCAGCCTACTGAGTAGCTGGGACCACAGGATCCTATCTCAATGCTCCAGTATTTCATGGAGCAACCACGGGCCCCAGCTTACAGAACAAGAATCTGTTTACAGCTTCTTGTGACCCTAAAAGCACAGCGGCTTCAAACACCTCATCCTACCTGGGTCAGGCTGGCTCATCAGGCAGTGACTGAAGCCGCCAGCCCAGCCCTAAGCTCTTGAGCCCCCTGTCATGCCTTCCTCCCCCCTTCCCCCCAACCCCGCCCCCCGCCAGCTGTCAGAGGAGCCCTGGTCTTAAGATTCCAGAAGTCTGGCGTCCCTCTTGTGGACCCAGAGGGCCAAGAACCCAAGTAACCCATTTATGCCTGAGGTTGCAATTTTTTGAATTTTTGCAATCAGACCTTGGCAATGACCTTGAGCAGTAGGATATAAATAACTCCCACATGCTTAGAGTTCCAATAATGGAACACTAGGCATCAATAGGAGTTTCAGTCGTTTCTCTTCCTGTATCTTATACTTTCCACAGCTCATTTGGCTACGGAATAAACTGAGGTACAAACAGAACAAAGCTTGGACTCAGCTTTCTTTACACATTGCCTACTATCTATTGCAACTTGGTTTTGGAATACGGGCTATTCGTAAAAATGGAATGGATGGATGTCCGTGAGTGTTGATGCAAATTCATGCCCTACTCTGATGGCCAAGAAAGCACCAGATCTCTTTGTTAATTGCGCTGTTGCATTCCAATTGCAACAGCATTGAGGTCCATTCCATAGACAAGTGGAAATTGTTGGAAATCGTTCTCCAAGCCCTGCATAGACAAGTGATAGATTAGTGGAGACAATATGACTTCCAGGGCACAGAGTCTGTTAGGAGCCATCCCTCAGAGGCTGTGAGGTTGACGTTAGCTAATTTGCCTTTTCTCTATGTCACTGAGGAATAGGGCAAAGGTTGGCTGCTCAGTAGTCTGGATAATTCATCATAGCTGGTGTATTTTTCAGCTGGGGCTGCTGTCACCAAGTGCCACGGACTGGGTGGATGAAGCAACAGATGCTTATCTTTTCGCAGTTCTGGAGGCTGGAAGTCTGAGATCAAGGCACTTGCGGCTTTGATTCCTGGTGAGGGCTCTCTTGCCGGCTTGCGAATGGCCTCCTTTGCTGTGTCCTCACATGGTGGAGAAAGAGCTTTCGTGTCTCTTGTGTTTCTTTCTTTTTTTTTTTTTTTTTTTTTTTTTGAGACGGAGTTTCGCTCTTGTTACCCAGGCTGGAGTGCAATGGCGCGATCTCGGCTCACCGCAACCTCCGCCTCCTGGGTTCAGGCAATTCTCCTGCCTCAGCCTCCTGAGTAGTTGGGATTACAGGCACGTGCCACCATGCCCAGCTAATTTTTTTTGTATTTTTAGTAGAGACAGGGTTTCACCATGTTGGCCAGGATGGTCTCGATCTCTTGACCTCGTGATCCACCCACCTCCGCCTCCCAAAGTGCTGGGATTACAGGCTTGAGCCACCGCGCCCGGCCACGTGTTTCTTATAAGAACCCTAATCTCATCACGAGGACTCTACCCTCATGACCTTATCTGATGCTAATGACCTGCCAAGGGTTACATCTCCAAGTACCGTCCCACTGGGGTTTCGAGTTTCAGCAGATGAATTTGGGGAGATAGGGGTTGACGTCGTTCATGGAGTTGGCCCTGGGCTCTTCTTCCTAAGTGTCCTCATTACTCTCCACCTTCCTCTGCCCACGCACTTCGATCCTCCCAGCCTGCTCCCTTTACCCTATCCATCCTGTGTGATCACCGCCCTCTGCAGAAACCTCTTCTAAAACAAAGCTGAGTTCAGAACCTCTCAGGTACCCTAAGACCTCAGTGTGCCTCCGTCACATCCTATAATAACACACTGCAATTGTCTGCTTTCACTGTTTGTCTTTGTTTCTCTCCTATAAACCTATCTTTTTCTTCTTTGTTGCATACCTGACACCTAGCACGTGTGTGAGTCAGAAGAGACGTGCGTTGCTTGTGTCTTCATTGCCACACTATCCACGGTAGCAAAGACCTGAAATCAACCTACATGTCCATCCGTGGTGGAGTGGAGGAAGGAAATGTGGGACGTATGCAGCACGGAATTCTATGGAACCATAAAAAAGAATGAAGTCATATCTTTTGCAGCAATGTGGATGGAACTGGAGACCATTATCCTGTGTGAACTCATACGGCAGTGGAGGAGCAAATACAGCATGTTCTCACTTACAAGTGGGAGCTAAACGCTGGGCACTCACGGACATAAGGATGGTAACAGCAGACACGGGGAACTCCAAAAGGAGCGAGGAAGAAGAAAAGGAAGCATGGGTTGGAGGACGACTGTTGAGTACTATGCTCACTATCTGGGTGTCATATATCCATGTCGACAAGCCTACATATGTACCCTCATAGCTAAAATAAAACTTGAAATTGAGGCTGGGTGTGGTGACTCATGCCTGTAATCCTAGCACAAGAAAGGTGGATCACCTGAGGTCAGGGGTTCGAGACAAGCCTGGTCAGCATGGCAAAACGCTGTCTCTCCTAAAAATACCAAAAAAAAAAAAAAAAAAAAAAATGGCTGGGCACGGTGGCTCACACCTGTAATCCCAGCACTTTGGGAAGCCAAGGTGGGTGGATTGCTTGAGGTCAGGAGTTTGAAACCAGCCTGACCAATGTGATGAAATCCTGTGTCTACTAAAAGCACAGAAACCAGCTGGGCATGGTGGTGGGCACCTGTGGTCCCAGCTACTTGGGAGGCTGAGGCAGGAGAATTGGTTGAAAGGGATGGGGAGTGAAGGCTGCAGGAAAAAAAGGTGAAATTAACAACAAAAAAGAGAGGTATGCATCGGATCTTTGTTGAATGAATGTGTGAACTAATTAGATACTGCACACTCAGAAAGCAAAAACGTACAATTCACAAATCTAGGACTCTCAACCACATCCAACGAGGCTTAAATGATAGACACAAGAAGCCACGTGTCATCTGCTTTTCCTGAACAATGTCTCTGCTGAAATATTAGTTCTGCCAGCTACAAAGACCACTGAGGTCTGAGGATGCTGAGTGCCTCTTGGAAGTCACTGAATTTGTTAGGTATAAAAGCCAAGACTTCAGCTGAGCTCTGTGCACCAATGTGTGCGTTCATCTACACTGGGTATCTCTGTGCCATCACGTCCTGCAAGAGCAGGACTGCAGGCGGGCAGTGTCTTCCCTGGTTTCTGGGTTGGTGGCTTTGAACTCGCTGCAGCACCCACGCCCTCAGCGAGCAGAGTTGCCAAGCAGGTGTGCCAGCTTCCAGAAGCCCAAGATGCCCATTGGCGCTTGGTAACCACCCCAGTTTCCCCATCCTCGGTGCTGCTGCAGATTGGTTGGGGCGGTCGGGGTAGGCTGGTCCCAAGGCATGACTGAGCATGCACACGCTGGTCCCACAGGTTTTCAGCTGTGGAGTTTGGGAGCTGGGAGCTGGGAGCTCATTTGTTTCTGGCAGTTCAGTTCATATTTTCCACTTGAAGCCATCGCCTCCCTTCCTTCCAGGCTGAGAAACCAGAAGTCGACGGGAGGAGAGTGGAGAGGCTGGATCTCACAGCCCGCTTGGTCGGGGATTCCGCTGAGGATTTTGCATCCTGAATCGAAGCATGGAACCCTGGCGAGGACTCCACGGCCTCACGGTCCTGTGTTTCCTAATGCACGCCCGAGGTAAGAGGCTTCTGGCTTCGAGGGAGATCCCCACGTGGGATTAGAAAGGAGATTAAGAGAGATGGGTGGCTGAGAGGGGAGGGGGAAGACTGGCTGCTCCAATTTGGGATTTGGGAATTAGATCCACGAAGGCAGGTTGCTAGCTGATAGCACTTAGATATTCACCGTATTTTCTCAAACTGTGTGTCCCAAGCGTTTTAAAAAATGGCCTATTTAGTTCCATGAATTAAGCACAACTGGACGTGTGGGGAATGTAAATCATTTCCTTCTGATTGTAAAAATGAGTCCTGACCATTTCCATATGGCAAAAAGAGAGTTGAAATGACTTTACCCCATGGGACAGATTACTAGAGATTCCTTTGCCGGAAAGATTGCATTTGTTCAGATGTTTAAACCTTTTCATAAACACTGTCATTCCTTCTTGCAAATTAAAACCACCTGAAATGTTTACATCAAAAACTTCAACATGAACCTGCAGGCTGGCTGTCCCACACCCCAAGATCAGAGTTTTTAATGCCTTGTGAGAAACTCTAATGAACTCATAAAGTATAGGATTTGAATAACGACTGAGTACGTTTCTCTGGTCATTGTAATGTGGCGATTCCAGAGGATAGAACACTCAGGCGAATCTCAAGAGTGAGACACCATCATTCTCAGCAAACTGACACAAGAACAGAAAACCAAAAACCTCATGTTCTCACTCATAGGTGGGTGTGAACAATGAGAACACATGGGCACATCACACACCGGGGCCTGTCGGGGGTTGGGGAAATAGGGAAGGGCTAGTGGGGGGTGGGGAGATTGGGGAGGGGTAACAGGAGAAATACCTAATGTAGGTGGCGGGCAAATGGAGGCAGCAAACCACCAGGCAGGTGTGTACCTGTGTAACAATCCTGCAAGATCTGCACATGGACCCCAGAACTTAAAGTATAATAAAAAATGTTGTTTTTTTTTAAAAATTTACCTCTGGAAAAGAAAGAACAAGAGAGCCAATAAAAACTTTAGGGATTTGTTAAAAAAAAAAAAAAAAAAAAGAGAGAGAGAGAGAGAAAGAGAGAGAGAGAGAGAGAGGTATTTCTGTTAGGAATTAAAAGACATTCAGATGCTCCTGAGGCAGCACTTCCTGTTTATCCAAATCCGTTGAAGGATTTGGATGTCAGGAAGGTAGGAGTCTGTTGTTTATGGGCGGAGGCACTGCCGGGATCAATACATCCTCGTGTACATCGTCAGTGATCTGCATGAATAATTTTTTTATCATTCCTTGCTGTCTTGAGATCTCAGCTAGTAACTGGGCAACACAGCCATGCATTCATTAGTTTCTGTTTACAAGGAGACATTGAACAGTGAACCCAGCTTCCCAGAAAAGCACTTCCAAGAGCGTACTGTATTATCATTCACAGTAAGAGCCAAAGGTTAACCGTAGACCCTTGGGGAAGTCAACTTCTACAAAGTGTAGCATACATACAGCTCCCACCTTACGATGGCTCGACTGATAATGGTTCAATTTGAGATGTTTCGACTTTACAATAGTGCGAAACTGGTAGGCAGTCAGCAGAAACTGAAACTGTACTCTCAGTACCCATACAACTTTTTTTTGGTCAGACGGAATGTCACTCTGTTACCCAGGCTGGAGTGCAGTGGCACAATGTCAGTTCACTGCAACCTCGGCCTCCTGGGTTCAGGCGATTCTCCTGTCTCAGCCTCCCGAGGAGCTGGGATTACAGATACCGCCACCACACCCAGCTAATTTTTGTGTTTTTAGTAGAGACAGGGTTTCACCATGTTGGCCAGGCTGGTCGGGAACTCTTGACCTCAGGTAATCCACCCGCCTCAGCCTCCTAAAGTGCTCAGATTATAGATGTGAGCCACCACGCCCAGCCCATACAGCTATTCTCTTTTTCAGTTTCAGTATAAAATTCACTAAATTACATGAGAGATGCAACACCTCATTATAAAATAGAGTTTGTGCTAGATGATTTGTCCAACTCTTGGCTAATGGAAGTGTTCTGAGCACGTTCAAGGCAGGTGAGGCTAAGGTGTGGTGTTTGGAGGGCACTCGTATTAAATGCAGTTATGACGTAAGTTGTTTTCTTTTCTTCAATGTGTTTTAATTTTTTTGAGGGAGGGTCTCCACGCATCACGCAGACTGGAGTGTGGTGGCTCCATCGTAGCTGACTGCAGCCTTCACCCCAGGGGTTCAAACAAACCTCCCACCTCAGCCTCCAGAGTAGCTGGTACTATAGGCGTTTGCCACCACGTCTGACCAGATTTTTAAAATTTTTTGTAGAGACAGGATCTCACTAGCCTGACCAGATTTTAAAATTTTTTTTGTAGAGACAGGATCTCACTATCTTGTCCAGGCTGGTTTTGAACTTCTGAGCTCAAGCGATTCTCCTGCCTTTGCCTCCTCAAATCTTGAGATTACAAATATCAGCCACCACACCCTATCCTGTGCTGAATTCTTTGAATGACAGCAGCATTTCTCACACATGATGCGTGTTTATTAACTTAGTTGATTGTCCCTCAGCGCCCGATGACGGGAGTGCCGTGCTTGATGTCACTTTACAGATGGTGTATTAGTGAGCGTCCTCTAGAGGGACAGAACTAATGGAATCCATATATATACAGAGAGAGGGGGTTTTATTAAGTATTACCTCACGTGATCACAAGGTCCCACGATAGGCCGTCTGCAGGCTGAGGAGCAAGGAGAGCCAGGCCAGGTTCCAAACTGGTTAAGAACTTGGAGTCTGATGTTCAAGGGCTCATCCAGCACAGGAGAAAGATGTAGGCCAAGAGACTAGGCCAGTCTCTCTTTTGACATTTTCCTGCCTGCTTATATTGTAGCCACGCTGACAACTGATTAGATGTTGCCCACCCAGATTGCGCGTGGGTCCGCCCCTTCCAGTCCGCCATCCTAAACGTTAATCTCCTTTGGCACACACAGGATCAAGACTTCGCATCCTTCATTCCAATCCAGTTGACATTCAATATTAACCATCACAGATGGGTAAACTGAGGCACTGAGGATTTGGACGGGGGCAGCTGGCAGCCGAATCCGAGCTGTCTTGCATGTCTCTCTGGGAAGACCCCCGTGAGCATCCTATCCTGCTCTATCCCAAGCCTCGTCTTCTGAAAATCCGAATCATTCCTTCTCCAAGAGTTACAGGAAAGGGGTCCAGATCCAGACCACAAGGCAGGGTTCCTGGAACTTGCCCAAGAAAGAATTCAGGGTGAATTGTAAAGTGAGAACAACTTTGTTAGGAAAGTGAAGGAATAGATGGCTACTCCACAGCCAGAGCGGCCCCCAGGGCTGCTGGTGGACTGTTTCTATGGCTATTCATGATATGCCAAGCAAGGCATGCATGATTCATGCAGAATTCCTGACGTTGCCATGGTGTTTGCCACTGCCACGGCGTTGATGGGACTGTAACCGCGAGGACAACCAGAGGTCACTCGTCACTCTTGCTTTCGGTGGGTTTGGGGCAGCTTCTTCGCTACAACCTGTTTTATCAGCAAAGTCTTTAGGACCCGTGTCTTGTGCAGACCGTCAATCTCATCCTTCACCATCTGGGAATGCAGCCCGGTAGGTCTCAGCCTTATATGACTCAGCCCCTATTCAAGGTGGAGTCGCTCTGGTTCCAGTGCCTCTGACACAAGGAACGCCCCATAGGGAGGTTGCAGGAGGGACAGGATAGGAAGTGAGGTCTGGATCAGGGCACTTCTGTGTAAATGAGATGATGTGCACGCAGCAGCTGGGTGTGCTCTAGGTAATGAATTACATGCATAGATGACCCTGTTACATCTCCAGCCATCGCCAGCTAGAGACGGGGCACATTTGCAAGACTCCAGAAACATTCTGCAAGGCTGGTGGGAGGATTGCTACGAAGCACTTAAGGAAACAGAGTATTGAGAGTATTGATCAGGGTAAATAGTTAATGCGTGTGGGGCTTAATACCTAGATAATGAGTTGGCAGGTGCAGCTAACCGCCATGGCACGTGTCTACCTATGTAACAAGCCTTCACAGCCTGCACGTGTGTCCCGGAACTTAGTATAAAACAAAGAAAACAGAGTATTGTTAGTGGTTAATATACTGCAAAAAAATTATGATTACTAAATTAGCAATACAAAACAAGGTAATGACAATATGGCATATTTCTAATAAATAGAGGTTGACATTCTGGCAGCCCACATTTCCGTTGCCTTTAATTGGTATCTGCTGTCAAATCCAGAGGGGTATGAAGGAAAGTGACACACAGTCTGGTCTTCTAACAGCTGAGAAAACCAGAAGTCGAAATCCCAAAGGGCAGTGTATGAAATGTTATTCATTGAGGAGACAAAAAGAAAATTGTAGGGTTTGATAGAACAAATAGGTACTAGCGTTTGACGGATTCATAGGGTGACTTTCGTTTACAATAATCTATTGTATATTTCAAAACTGAACAATGAGAGTGGTTCTAATACGGAGAAAAGGCAAACGTTTAAGGTGGATGGATATCCCAGCTATGCTGATTTGATCTTTAGGAATTATATAAATGTATTAAACTATTACATGTACCCTGAAGCTATGTACATCTGTTACTCATCAATTAAAAAATAAATTAAAAGAAAGGGATATATGTCCAAGACAGCATCTTCCAAGTCTATTGTACATTATGATCAGATGTGAAGCCGGGGAGTTCCTTGATTCCCCTCACAGGATGTGTGGCACGAATTGGTTCATCTGTTCAACCACTGCCCACTGAAACCTCTTACGGGAGGCAGAGCTTTCAGGTGGGCAGATGCATCAGCTGGGCGAGTATTTTGAAATAGAACCAAGAAGATACATTTATATCTAACTCAGAGAGTATTTTTGAAATAGAACCAGTAAGATACATTTATATCTAACTCTGTATATACCTATATCTCTATTGGTCTTTCATCTGTCTCAGAAATCTACCTATCTGTTTATCATCTATCCATCTATCTCGTCATCTATCTGTCTGTTATCCATCTATTTATTCATCTATCTTTATCTCCAATACCTATCTTCAATATCTATCTCTGAGGCAGACAGATCGCTTGGGCCTAGGAGTTCGAGGCTGCGGTGAGCTGATTACATCACTACACTGCAGCCTCAGAGCAGAGCTAGACCTTGCCAGAAGGAGGAGGAGGAGAAGGAAGAGGAGGAGGAGAAGGAGAGAGAATTGCTTGAACCCAGGAGGTGGAGGTTGCAACGAGCTGAGATTGCACCATTGCACTCCAGCCTGGGCAATTGAGCGAGACTCTGCCTAAAGAAAAAACAAAATTCAGGGAGAGTATTGTTGAGGGCGTGGGCCAGGCACATGAAGTCGCTGAGATGAAACTGCCCAGATACCCATACCCTGGCTGTGTCCACTGAGCTAGGCCGTCGATGGCATGCCCACTTCGGCTGACTGCGTCCGGTGGGCACGTTTAAGTCTGTCGTGAGCGGAATCGGACCCTCCTTATTTTTACAAATGGAAGCCCGTAGGACCTCCGATCGTGACTGTGTTTGCAGACAGGGTCTTTAAAGAGGCGACTTAGGTAAAATGAGGTCACCAGGTGGGGCCCTGATCCAGCTGCACTATGGACCTTATGAAAAAACAACATGAGGACAGACATGCAGACAGGGACGCCCTCGTGGGGACTCAGGGAGAAGACGGCATCCACAAACCAAGGACAGAGGCCTCAGGAGGAGCCAGCTGGCCCACACCTTGATGTCGCCCTTCCAGCCTCCAGGCTTGTGGGAGAATCAGTGTCTGCTGTTTAAGCTGCCTGGCCTGTGGGACTTTGCTGCGGCACCCCAGCGGACACACACATTCCTATTCCAGTGAATGAGTTATCTCTGTTAAGGGCTGAGCTGTGCACCTCCGAAATTTACATATTGAAGGCCTAATCCCCAGGAGCTCGGAACGTGACTGTGTTTAGAGAGAGGGTCTCTAGACGGGCGAGAAGGGTACAATGAGGTCTTTAGAAAAAGAGGTGAAGACACAGACACACACTGAGGGACGACCCTGTAAAGACGCAGGGAGGAGACGGCGGCTCCAAGCCCAGGAGAGAGACCCCAGGAGAGAGACCCCAGGAGGAGCCAGCCCCGCCCACAGCTGCATCTCAGACCTCCTGCCTCCAGGGCCGTGGGAGAATCGAGGCAGCCAGTCTGTGGGATTTTATCGTAGCAACTCTGGGAAGCCATTGCCAAGTCTCTGTCCTGCAAAGTGAGATGTCTGGATCCGCAGCCTCAACATCCCCCGGGAGCTGATGAGAAGCACTGTGTCCTCGGCCTAGCCAGACCTGCTGAAGCGTAGTCCCTGTGTCACCCAGGTCCTGAGGGACCACGTGCACACGCCAGTCGGGGGAGACGGGATTGTCTGTGTAGACTCCCCTTGGCCCCTTGGAGCACTGGGCCTTCCTTCTGGGTGCGGGGGTGGGACCCTTTCTGGGATGGGCGTCTTAGGACACCCAAACCAGGCAGGTCAGGGAACTTCCCTATGGCCAGTCTTGATACAGACAGGATGGAGGGAAAGTTAGAGTCCTGTTTTTGGGTTTTGTGGCTGGCTTTGGGGGAAAGGCATTCTTGTTTCTAGAACCCGCCCGGGGGAAGAGAGATTCTAGTTCCTACAGTGGCTCAGGGAAGAATGGGACTCAGACACAGGAGGGCTGGAAAAGTTCTGAGAGAAACTTCTGTTTCTGAGGCCGCTGCTGAGGTCTGCAGTTGGGGTATGGTTTCCTGAGTCCAAACAACTCGTAGGTCTGAATCCAGGTAAAGAACGCGGCCGGTGGGGGGAAGGCCAGTGAGAAGCATCTTCGAATCCGGCAGGGGTGGAATTTGAACCCAGGAGGGGTTTGGTGCCTGCAGGCTACAGAAGAAGCCCTCCAAGCCGACATCTCGTGGTTTTGCTCTGGAGGGTCCCAAGGGCAGCTTTACCGGGGGCTTCCCTGTCCCGCGCGGCCTTCTCACCCACCTACAGGAGCCATTTAATCGACATCTCCAGGACGCCAGCCACCGAGGCCCAACGTCATAGACCCAGAACACGAGGATTTGATGGAAAGCCGCTGAGTTCACTCAAGGAAATCAGTGCAGCAAATCGGAAACACATCTCCTGTTCCTGCCCCGTCTTATGTTCCCAGTGGAAAATGAACCCCAGAAAAGCAAAAGCATCACGTGCGCCTCCTGACCTTGGAGCCAGACACCCCGAAGTCGGCGTGGTCCACCTGGATAGACCCGTGGTCAGTCCATGAGGAGCCCAGCCGTGCCTTTGCTGTAACTTGCCTGGAGAGGAGAGAGGACAGGGGGCCCTGCCAGTGAGATAGATTTCCTGCCTGGCGGGCAGCACTGGGGACTGTGTCTCAGTGCGCAGGCCGCCCGAAGCTGCCAGAGCCCGCCTGATTTATGTCACGAGGTCTGGGTGTGACCGACAGCGGCCTCGTGTGTGTGAGTCACACATGCAGCAACTTCTGGCCGCAGTGCAAGCCCTGAAACCTAGCAGAGCCCCAAACCACCCTCCTCCACTTCCTCTCTGTGACATCTCAAAGCTGAAGGAGCCTGCTCTGCCACCCGGCCCCCTGCTGCAGGGTGAGCAGAGCTGCCACCTGCCTGGTTTATGCAACCGTATTTCAGAGAGGAGCCGTTGGGACGGGAGAGAGATGACACCAAGGCACCTTTGGTGATTTAGGGAAATAGGAGGGAGCGGCCGGGCGCACAGACTGGAGGAGATTGTAAAGTGGTTGCTTAGCGGATGCCTGGAATTGCTGGGTTGGGCTGAGATACGACACAGTGAAAGATACTGGTCAACAGTGAACGGGGACTGGAGTCTAAATTCTCAGGGTGTGTCCATAGCCGAGATGCTGAACTCTGGGGTCCTAGACAGGTGTCTCCACTGGAACTGCTAACAGCCTTGGAGGGGAAATATCTCACAGATCCGAGAGGCTGACGTGGCTCGTGTCCTGCAGCCCAGTCTCAGCAGCTTGGACAGTGATGACCAAGACAGCTGGAGGAGGCCGGGCACGGTGGCTCACGCCTGTCATCCCAGCACTTTGGAAGGCAAAGGCAGGCAGATCACTTGGGGTCAGGAGTTCGAGACCAGCCTGGCCAACATGGTGAAACCCCGTCTCTACTAAAAATACAAAAGTTTGCTGGGCATGATGGTGCGTACAGTTGTAATGCCAGCTACTCAGGGGACTGAGGCAAGAGAATTGTTTGAACCCAGGAGGTGGAGGTTGCAGTGGGCCGAGATTGTGCCATTGCACTCTAGCCTGGGTGACAGAGCGAGACTCCATCTAAAAAAACAAACATACAAAAAGGAGAGAGCTGGAGGGAGCAAAGAAGAGCCGGGTTGTTCTTAAAGGTGAGCCTGCAGCGATCACTGGCAGCAGAGAACGTCATCTGAGAGGGATGTGTGGGCTCCCCAAGTTGAAAGGAAATGGCTGTGTGGGACCAGGGACAGCTGCTGTGTGCACTCCTGCCTGGGGATACACCCTCTGCTCCAGAGAGGCCCTCATTTCTTCCACAAGGAGCCGCAAAGCCTGTCCTGGTGGCATCTGTCTGGAGCCACGCCACAGGCTGTACAAATCTACGTTGTAGCCCTTGAACCTTCCTCCATAGCAAGCAACACCCAGGCAGACAGATTCCTGGGAGGGAGACAGACAGCAGAAGTGGGGGAGACCCAGCACCGATGGCTTGCCTGCTTCCCCCAGGCTTAGCCTCCTCCAGGGCTTAGTGTTTGAGCAAGAGGTTGTTCCCCCTGGACAGTTCTGCAAATTCTGACTGTGCTCCTGCCTTGCCCCAAACCTCCCAGAAGCCCAGCTTCTTCCTTTGGGAAATGTGCGTGCTGGTGATAGCAACATCCTCGGTGGGGTGCGGTGGGGGGGCGCAGATGCCTGGCATCACTGCAACAGAGCTCAGTGCATAGGAAGCGCTGATTCAGTGCCCTCCCACCCGCATCCTCTACCTCCTGATGAGTTCTCGGGACACAGTCGTTAGGTTAACTGCTTTTGGATCAGGTGGGAGCCTCAGCCTGTGCACACAGGTTGCTTCCCGACTCTGTATTTGTCAGTGTAGGCTGGCTGCTGTAACAAACAGCCCCCAAAGAATGAAAAGTTTATCTCTCGTTTGTGTTGCAGCCAGGTGAGGTGGCAAAGGTGTCCTCTGCTCCATACAGTCTCTCAAGGATCCAGGATCCTCATATTGTTCTGCTTCACCTTTTTCTAGGGCAGCCCCTCTCAACCTAGATTCTCTCTTTGTGTGTGTGTGAGAGAGAATGGGCGTGTGTGTGTTTATGTATGGGGGAAATGCCAGTCCTAAGCTGTGAGTGGAAGGATCCGGGAGAGAAGTCTATGTGTTCGGAGAGAGGCTTCCTTCAAAGTTCCCTGGCCATGAGCAGGAATAAAATAATGGCATGGGTTGCAATGTGGATGCAACTCAAAAGCCTCATGCTCAGTGAAAGAAGCCAGGCGCAAAATACCACATACTGTAGGATTCTATTTATATGAAATTTGCAGAACTGGCAATTCATGGAACAGGCAATCCAACAGAAGGTGGATTAGTGGTTGTCAGGGGCTGGGGAGGCAGCAGGGGAAGTGACTGCTGAATGGGGACAGGGATCTTCCTTTGGGTGAGAAGTATGTTCTGGGAGTAGATAGAGGTGGTGGTTGCATCTCCCGCGTAGCTCATGGTTAGTTGTAGTGCTCTGGCAACCCTGGGCTTGCAGGGGGCAGGAAGCGGCATGAGGTGGGGAACGAGGAAGATTCTGGCCTTTCCATCGTGGTGTGACTTATGTCCTGTTTGCTTTCAATAGGTCAAAGAGACTTTGACTTGGCAGATGCCCTTGATGACCCTGGTAAGTGCCAGTATTTCAAGGGAGTCTTCTCTTTTCAGTTTGGGTCTAACAGCATCAGCCGCATAGTTACTTTGCAGTTGGGTTGGGCCGGTGTTTGGAATTTCTTGGTGTTGAGATCTCTTTTCTTCACAGGAGATTGCAGATGCCTTGAGACAAACTTTTACACACTCTCTAAAAGTCTCAGACGCATTTCTTGGTAGGTCTGTGCTTCTGAAGCCTGTAGTTTAGAAGTATGCTAGTATTTTATTATTTATTTTATTGAGATGGGAGTCTTGCTCTGTTGCTCAGGCTGGAGTGCTGTGGTACAATCATAGCTTACCACACAGCCTTGACTTCCTGGCTCAAACAATCCTCCCACCTCAGCCTCCCAAGTAGCTGGAACTACAGGCGTGTGCTCCCATGCCCAGCTAAGTTTTTAAACTTTTTTGTAGAGATGGAATCTCACTATGTTGCCCAGGCTGGCCTCAAATTCCTGGGCTCAAGCAATCCTTCCACCTTGGTCTCTCAAAATGCTGGGATTACAGAGACACACCAGCATGCCCGGCTCAGTTACTGCTTTTCTTACACTTAAGTTCATATCTGTCATTGTCCCACACCCTGATCTGAATTTATGGCCCCCAGTCTAGCCTCCCAGAGCATACTTCTTCCCCATTCTCCTATCAGCTTCTCTGCTCACCTTCACTTACAGAGCTGCCACATCCACAAGATACATGTTTGCTGAATGAATAAAGTCGTGAATGAAAGAAAGTGAGAAAAGCCATCATTCTAGAAGCTGCAAGGCTTTCTTCATCTTTTCTTTTGCCTCTGTCCCCGCCCTGCCTACTGTCCGGCTCTGTGGTGGCCCTAGAGACGCGGCTCACTCACTTGTCTTGGACGCTCTCAGCTACCGTGGCCATCCTGTGGGCATCCTCATAGCCCCAAGGGCAGATTGTTTTTGAATGGATTTTAAGGGTATTTCCTTGCTTTTTCCCCGGAATATACTGTGGAATTTGTGTCCATATCATTTAGTTTGTATTGTTTTATTTTTCATCAGGGTGTTAATGGCCTTTTTTAAATTTTTGAGATGGAGTCTCACACTGTCACCCAGGCTGGAGTGCAGTGGCGCCATCTTCGTTCACTGCAGCAACCTCCATCTCCCAGGGTCCAGTGATTCTCCTGCATCAGCCTCCCAAGTGGCTGGGACTACAGGCGCCTGACACCATACCCGGCTAATTTTTACTATATTTACTATATTGGCCAGGCTCATCTTGAACTCCTGACAGTGTGATCCGCCCATTTCGGCCTCCCAAACTGCTGGGATTACAGGCGTGAGCCACAGTGCCCAGCCCTTTCTTTGTGCTTCTGATGAATCTTCAATGCATATTGCATTTATTTTCTCTTTGTCCACAGAACCCACCAAGAAGCCAAACTCAGGTGAGTGACTCTTCGGCTGGGAGAAACTGAGGCAACGTCCTTGAACTGATGCTTATGGATGGATGCTTGAGAATGTTTTACAGAATTGTGGGGTGTGTTAAGGAGATGCAAGAACTGTACCAGATAATAGACATGAGAAGCAAAATGTGGTGATTAGGGAAATGCAAATCACAACCACACTGAAGCAGCACTGGGATGGCTAAAATCGAAAATCGAAAATAACAAGTGTCGGCAAGGATGTGAGGAAACTGGAATGCTTGTACATTGCTGGTGGGAGTCTAAAATGGTACAGCCACTGTGAACAAATACGTTCGTGGGTCCTTAAAACGTTCAATACAGAATTATTTTATGAATAAGCAATTCCACTCCTAGGTGTATACTCAAAATAACTGAAAACAGGTGTTCCAAGAAGAACTTGAACACAAATGTTCACAGCAGCACTATTCATTACAGCTAAAAGGTAGAAATAACTCACATGTTCATCAGCGGAAGGAATGGATAAACAAGATGCGGTCCACCCACACAAGGGAGTATTATTTAGCCTTGAAGAGGAATGACACACTGATAATTGCGACAAAGTGGTTCAACCTCAGAAACATTTTGCAAAGGGAAAGAAACCAGACACATGTAAGATCACATAGTGCATATTTTTATGAATATGAAATTTCAAGAATAGGCGAATCCCTAGGACCGGAAGTAGTGTTGTGACTGCCAGTAGCTGGAGGGGAAAGGGAGAGTGACTGCTTGATCAACTCCAGGTCTCCTTCCAGGGGAATGAAAGTGTTCTGGAAGTACACAGAGGTCATGGTTGCACAACGTTGTAAGTGTTCTAAATGCCCCTGGAGTGTTCACTTTTAGATGGTTAATTTATGTGTACATTTCACCTCATTTTATTTATTTATTTTTCAATTAAAAAGGGAACTTTTGTGTAATCCCAGCACTTTGGGAGGCCGAGGCGGGTGGATCACAAGATCAAGAGATCGAGACCATCCTGACCAACATGGTGAAACCCCGTCTCTACTAAAAATACAAAAAAAAAATTAGCTGGGCATGGTGGCGCGTGCCTGTCATCCCAGCTACTCAGGAGGCTGAGGCAGGAGAATTGCCTGAACCCAGGAGGCGGAGGTTGCGGTGAGCCGAGATCGCGCCATTGCACTCCAGCCTGGGTAACAAGAGCGAAACTCCGTCTCAAAAAAAAAAAAAAAAAAGAGGTAACTTTTGGTCCAGGGCAGTGGCTTATGCCTGTAATCCTAGCACTTGGGGACGCCAAGGTGGCAGATTACCTGAGGTCAGAAATTCAAGATCAACCTGGCCAACATGGCAAAACTCCATCTCTAATTAAATATACAAAAATTAGCCAGGCATGATGGCATGCGCCTGTGGTCTCAGCTACTCAGGAGACTGAGGCTGGAGAATCACTTGAACACAGGAGGTAGAGGTTGCAGTGAACCAAGATCATGCCACTGCACTCCAGCCTGAGTGACAGAGCGAGATCCTGTCTCAAAAGAAAAAAAAAAAAAATGAAAGCCGTAGCTCAGAGACAGAGAAACTGAGCAATGCATAGGTTCAGAAGGGCTGGAAACAGAGTGACTAAATTGTGTCTTGGCATTTGAGAGAGCTTGCAGCCATAAAGCAATGAAAGAAGAAACCAAATTCTACGTAGGCAGGACTGAGCCAATTGACTCTTCTTGTGGCTGATATGTGATCAGCTGTCAACCTCATGCAATCCTTTGGCCCAGGCTGGAGTGCAGTGGTGCGATCTTGTCTCACCACAGCCTTCTCCTCCTGGGTTCAAGCAATTCTTGTGCCTCAGCTGGGACTACAGGCACGTGCCATCACGCCTGCCTAATTTTTGTATTTTTAGTAAAGATGGGGTTTCAACAAGTTGGCCAGGCTGGTCTCAAACTCCTGACCTCAGGTGACCTGCCTGCCTCGGCCTCCCAAAGTGCTGGGATTACAGGTGTGAGCCACCGCGTCTGGCCTCATGCAATACTTAAAAATAAACTGTAAGTGGATTAGAAACCTGAATGTAAAAGAAAACAGGTTTTTTTTTTTTTTTTTTTTTTTAAATAGAGGGAAATGTCTTAGAATCTCAGGGTTAGGAGGTTTTTGTTAGATAAGATTAAAAAAAAAAGCGTAGCCTCGCCGGTAATCCCAGCTACTCAGGAGGCTGAGGCATGAGAATCGCTTGAGCTCGGGAGGTGGAGTTTGCAGTGAGTGGAGATCGCGCCATTGGATCTACAGATGCGGAAATTCTGGTTAGAGAGCACAAATTGTGCATCCATAGCTCCTCTCCCAAAACAGAAGGATGACAAAAAATAAAAAAAAGAAAAAAGAAAAGAAAAGAAAAGAAAGAAAAGAAAATGGAGGAGCGCAACTATGCGGCAACTGAGAGGGATGTGATCATTCCATTTGCTGCAAAGAAAAATTCAAAGAAGACGGAATCACACAGTTGACCAAAATGAATGAAACAAGCCCACTATGGTGGGCAGCGGCGGTGCCCTGGGAGCCGAGAGACGGGGGGCGGTGCTGGTTTCAGACAAGATAGTTGCGCAGGAACTGGAAAGGGAAAAGGAGAATGGGTTGTGGGGACCCGGGGAGCTGCACTTCTGCCTGCGGAATCAGCCAGTGCCAACGAGTGAACGGTGGTGGGGGGGCAGGTGTAGGGTCCAGCCCGACGGGGCTCTGTGAGCCCCTCCCTGCTGGTTTGAAGATGAGAAATTGTAGAAATAAAAGGCACAAGACATGGGGATTGAGAAAACAGAGTTTGGGCCCAGGGGTCCACAGCTACCCAGATCGCGGAGACCAGCAGAGGCCCCAAATCCCGGGATGCCCTGCCTTTTATTGAGTTGCAGATCTGGGCACAGGGAAGGTACCACAATAGGTAGGGTGTGGTCTTGGTGGTCGGTGACTGGGGACAGGGTAAAATAGGGTGTGGCGTACAGGTGGGGGCTCAGGAATTTACGGCACCCCCAGTGAGGTAAGGAGCATAATGCATCAGCACCCTTTCCATATTTACCAAGAAAGAACTAAAACATGAAGATTTATGTCACTATTACTGATCATCTTTTCTAAGAAAAAGAGGAACCAGGTGCAGAAGCAGAACTTGAAAGTAGCCATGGAACGTGACCACCGAAGCGCAGCACCGCACAGAGACAGCAAAGTCCCCGGGTGTCCGTGGGCCTTCCTGACAGCCGTCAGGCTTGCCACGAGAGCTTGGAGAAGCGGAGTTTTCTCCTGACTCCCCTGAGGAAGGCGACGTCGTGGCCATCTTGGACATCTCCTTCCCTCGCTGGCTGGACAGCAGGTGTTTTCACAGCGCGGACACTGTCCCACAGCGGAGGCGCCCTTCAGCAGCCCTTATGCGGGCGTGACAGACGACTTACTGCACCTTGCCTTAGGGTCATTCATTTCACGATGTCACCGCAGGTTCACACTTCCGACCTGAGAAGCATTAGTAAAAGAATTAAGATCACCTATAAATAACTCAGATCACATATGAAAAACTAACAACTACTAACTACTGTTCTAGTTCTAGTTACTTTCTTCTTCATTATTTATAGGGAAATAGGCGGAGGCCTTCTGCTCCCGCCTCCGCCCTTCCAGGGTCTTTTCCCTACAGGCAGGGCGTTAGGAGCCTGCCCATGGTGATGGGGAAGCCCGGGGCGGGGGCCTGGTTGGTGGAGCAAGAGCAGCCGTCGGGAGAGAAGGAAAAGGCCCAAGCCTCCTTCAGGCTTGCTTCAGGACTCGGGGCAGGAGAGGAGATGCTGCTGGAGGATTCTGAGCAGGGGACGGCCTGGGTGGCAGCGGGGCAGAAGGAGAGCTGGACGGGGACGTGGTGACAGGCGACGCCGGCTCATCCAGGAAGGACGGCCAGGAGGGAGCGGAGGGAAAGGGGCATGCCGAGGTCCAGAGGCAGGAGCACCGGGAACATCCAGGGAAGGAGGGACGGGCAGGGGATTGGGAGACGGGGCACCCCGAGAGAGGGGTCCGGGCAGCAGGCAGACACCGCAGCCTGAGCTGCACCCCAGCTCACGGTCAGCCCTGGGAGGGCTTTGAGCAGAAGCAGGACAAGCGCCCACACCATGAGGCCACCCTGCCGCCGTCCTGGGCCCTGCACATGCCTCCTGCAGGCTGGGTGGCCGCCCACAAGGTCATTTAACGCCTGGTGCCTGTGGGCATCCTGCCAAGAGTTCGTTGGCATCGGAACGCTCTCCTGCCAAACCTGCCCCAGTGCCCCCAGCGCGGACCTGCTGTGAAGGGGAGCTCTGGAGATCACGCGTGAGCAATGCCGTGTGCTCTGCCCACAGGTTACTTCAATGATGGGGACCGCAATGACGGACACTACCCGCCCAGGCCCAGGCCACCTGCAGGTAGGTGCTGAGCCTCTCCAGGCGGGACACGTGCATTTGCTCAGAGAGGGTGGTGAGGAGAGGGACGCCCAGTCCAGGGGCAAAGCTGGTCACGGGTGGACGATAGGCTGGTGCAGGGGCTGACGGAGAAGGCCCCGGGGCTGCATCAGTGGCGTCGCGGTCTGGGCTTCCGTCTGCCTCTCCAGGCTGGCGGACGGGCTGGAAACACAATGGACAGATTCAACTGGAGGCTCCACAGAAACACGGGTGGGCATTTCTGTTTAGACTCCGCATGCGGAAACGCGGCTGGCTGTGCCTCGACACGGCTCCACGCACGTGCGTGCTTAGCCACCTCCGTCTGCGTGTACACGAATGTCCACACATCTGTGTTTGTGTCTCTATATGCTTTTAAATATACATAAACACATTTACATATGCATGTATATGGCTTTTCCATCTGTGTACATACATGCTTTCGTATATATACACTACGTAGATACCTGTGTTTTCATATATGTATATTCCTGACCTTATATATATGCTTATATATATCTTTCCATATGTACATGTCTTATATGTGTTTATTTATCTTTATGATTATACGCACATATATGCTTTTTATATATTTATGTATCTATATGTATTTTAATATATCTTTATTTTTTAATATGTTTATGTGTGTTTTAAAATACATATGCATTTTATGTACATTTTTATATTTTATGTGTGTTATATAAATATGTCTTTACATATATAATTAAACATATGCCTTTATGTATATCATTATATGTGTACATATATACCTTTATTTATATATGCTTTTATATATGTATGTGTATATCTTTATATGTTAGTATGTCTTTATATATGTACACATATACCTTTATGTGCATATACTTTCACATGTTATATATATATACACATAACTTTATATATACCTGTGTATATATCTTTATGTAGGTATATAAATGTCTTTCTGTATGTATATAAATATCTTTATATATCTATATACAACTTTTATATATGTATAAATATCATATAAGTATATATTTTATATGATATGTGTGCATATGCATACTTTATTTTTTTTATTTTCTTTTCCTGATATGAAGTCTTGCTCTGTTGCCCAGGCTGGAGTGCAGTGGCCCAATCTCGGCTCACTGCAACCTCCGCCTCCCTGGTTCAAGTGATTCTCCTGCCTCAGCCTTCTGAGTAGCTGGGATTACGGGCGCCTGCCACCACGCCTGGCTAATTTTTGTATTTTTAGTAGAGATGGAGTTTCACCATGTTGGCCAGGCTGGTCTCAAACACCTGACATTGTGATCCACCCGCCTTGGCGTCCCAAAGTGCTGGGATTACAGGCGTGAGCCACTGCGCCCAGTCCCCTATTGTCTTAAAAGTCACAAGGCAGGCATGGATTCTGTCTGATGCAGCTGTTATGGGGTGAATTATGTCTCCTGGCAAATTCATACGATGCAGTCCTGACCCCAGGTTTCCTCAGAATGTGGCTGTCTTTGGAGATGGGACCTTCGCGGAGGAGATTAAGATAAAATGAGGTCACTAGGGTGGGTGGTGATCCAAAAGGACTGCTGTCCTAGTAAGAGCGGGTGAGGACACAGACACACACAGAGGAAGGACCCCGTGAGGACACAGGGAGAAGCCGGCGTCTCCAAGCCCAGGAGAGAGGCCTCAGGAATAAACCCCAGAATGAATGCAGTCGGAGGTTCTGTGAGTGTGACTGGAGGAGGGGAAGCTCACAGAGGAAGTCATTTTGGGGGCAGGACGGGCTGACCTCACAGTGAGGGGCCAAGAGAGGTCCTGAACCAAGCCACGGACGCGGCTCCTGAGCTCCGGGCACTGTCTTCTGCCCTGGAAACCAAAGCTCCCTCGTGTCTGGTCCCCACTCCTCTGTCCGGCCTCCAGGCTTCCATAATCCCCACAGCTGTTTCGTTTTAGAGGCCTCGAAAGACAGTCTAGACCGGGCATCGTGGCTCACACCTGTAATCCCAGCACTTTCTGAGGCCGATGCGGGCGGATCACCTGAAGTCAGGAGTTCAAGACCAGCCTGACCAACATGGTAAAACCCTGTCTCTACCTGAAACTACAAAAATTACACAGGCATGGTGCTGTGCACCTGTAACCCCAGCTACTCTGGAGGTTAAGGTAGGAGAATCGCCTGAACCTGGGAGGAGGAGGTGGCAGGCAGCTGAGATTGCACCATTGCCCTCCAGCCTGGGCAACAGAGCAAGACTCTGTCTCAGAAAAAAAAGGAAAAAGTAGAATCCAGGCAGAACATGGTGGTCCACGCCTGCAGTCCCAGCTATACTCAGGAGGCTGAGGCAAGAGAATTACTTGAGCCCAGGAGGTGGAGGCTGCAGCGAGCTATGATTGCACCAGTGCACTGCAGCCTGAGCAGACAGTAAGAACCAGTCTCTAGAGAAAGACAAAGGCATAGAGAAAGAAACTATTCGGAGAAGTGACAAACCAGTCATTCTCGGTCCAGATTTCCAGTGTTCTGATGTCTGTGCTGCACAAGGACTTTGAGAACAACATGGATGGCTTTTCTGTGAATTTACGTAATTTCATCTTGACCCAAGGTGGGTGAGCACTTGCCAGGTACAGGAATATAAAATGGGTACAGAAAATAAAATTTCTAGCCCAGCAACAAAAACGTCCTGGAGATACAGACTCACGTTGTGCAAAGAGCTTGCATCAATTAGTTCATTTTGGCTGCTTCAATAGGGTCAAGGGACATTTAAGCTGGGACAGGAGGGATGAGCTAATGCTTTTCGAGGTGACAAGTGGGTTCTTCAAATCTTTAGGGAGTGTGTAAAGTGATGGACAGGGAACAGGAAGGAGGTCATGGCAGAAAGAATGTCATCTGCAACAGTCCTGGGGCAGTGCTGGACGAGGTGGCTCACTCCTGTAATCCCAGCACTTTGGGAGGCCGAGGCAGGTGGATCAGCTGAGGTAAGGAGTTTGAGATCAGCTTGACCAACATAATGAAACCTATTTCTACTAAAAATAGAAAAATTAGCTGGGCATGGTGGCAGATGCCTGTAATCACAGCTACTCGGGAGGCTGAGGCAGGAGAATGGCTTGAATTCAGGAGGCAGAAGTTGTGGTGAGCCGAGATCTTGCCACTGCATTGCAGCCTGGGCGAAAGAGCAAGACTCCATCTTAAAAATAAAAATAAAAAAGAGAACAGTCTCTGGGAGACAAAGCTCATAGTAAACTTCACAAACGTGCAAAAGTCATTGCAAAAGTTTTAAGAAATTTAAATGAAGCCGGGCTCAGTGTGGCTCATCCCTAGGCTTTTAGCCCTTTCGGATGACAGGACAGGAAGATTGCTTGAGGCCAGGGATTTGAGACCAGCCTGGGCAACATAGCAAGATCCTGTCTCCACAAAAATTAACAAAATTAGCTAAACATGGTGCTGTGCACCTGTAGTCTGAGCTGCATGGGCGGCTGAGGTGGGAGGATCGTCTGAGTCCAGGAGGTCGAGGCTGCGGGGAGCTATGATCGCCTCACTGCACTCCAGCCTGGACCACAGAGCACGACCCTGTCTCAAACCAAGAACCAAACAAGTTCAAATGAAAGGGTGTGAACCAGCAAGATGGACATATGACATACTAGCAAAGGGTCAGATGCTGTCATCATCATATTGGTGACTGACTTTTATAACAGTGGTGGCATTTGTAATAGCCCTCAACGGGGAAACGTCAACAGAAGACTTTCTGCCCTGTTAATCTCAGAGATCCGCAGATCCCTTGCTGGAAGCACCAGTGGGGTAAGCTGAGAGCACACAGTGAGAGCGTTTTTTAATTGTAAGCCCTGAAATAGCGTTGTGAATGTCGTCTATATGATTAATAAGCTCTGTAAAAGGGATGGGCAGTGACATCTTTTCTGTTTTGGCATTCTTATTTATAGGTGGGGTAGCTATCTGAAATATGTCATTAGGTTTCTAAAACCATCCTGCTGTTTTCCAACAGTTATCTACCCAACGCTGAAGCCACGCCCTCAGCCCCAGCCTGGCAATTCCGGCAACAGTGGAGGTAATGAGTATTATTTATTTATTTATTTATTTTAGTATTTTATTTTCTTATTTACTTTGGAGACAGGGTCTCGCCCTTTTGCCCCCGCTGGCGTGAAGTGATGTGATCGCAGCCTCGGTCTCCTGGGTTCAAGTGATCTTCCTCCCTCAGCCTTTCAAGTAACTGGGACTACAGATACATACCACCATACACAACTCTTTTTAATTTTTTTTTTTTTTCAGAGACAGGATCTCGCTATGTTGTCCAGGCTAGTCTTGAACTCCTGGCCTCAAACAATACTCTCCCTCAGCCTCCCAAAATGCCGCAATTACAAGCTATTGTGGCCCAGCCTGGTAATAAGTATTAAAACAATTTTATAAGAGTTTTGGGCCAGGCACCGCGGCTCAAGCGTGTAATCCCAGCACTTTGGGAAGACAAGGCAGGCAGATCACTTGAGGTCAGGAATTCGACAGCAGCCTGGAAAACACGGGGAAACTGAAATACAAAACGTAGCCAGGGAAGATGGTGTACACCTGTACTTGACAGGCTGAGACAGGCGAAGCTCTTGAACCTGGTAGGTGGAATTCTGTCAGAGCTGCAGTGAGCTGAGATCATGCCATTGCACTCCAGCCCGGGCAACAGAGTGAGACTCCATCTCAAAAATAAATTAAAATGAAAATTAAAAAGCTGTTTTGGTAACATCCCTGTTTTTATTATTGTTTTGAGACAGGGACTTACTGGGTTGCCCAGGCTAAAATGCAGTGGTGGGATCACAGCTCTACTGCAGCCTCCACCTCCTGGTCTCAAACAATCCTCCCACCTCAGCCTCTTGAGTAGCTGGGACTACAGGCAAACACCACCCCACCTGGATAATTTTTCCTTTATGGTGGTTGTTGTTTGTTTGTGTGTTTAGGGACAGGGTCTCGCTATGTTGCCCAGGCTGGTCACCAACTCCTGGCCTTAAGCGATCCTCCTGCTTTGACCTCGCAAAGTGCTGGGGTACCAACATGAGCCACTGCGCACAGCCCTAGGAAACAGCCTTTTAAGCCAAGTGCAATGCCTCTTGCACTGCCCAGAACATTTGTGCATACTACCAGGACTTCAGCTTCACAGGCCCGTGCCCCTGCACGATCCCATTAGAGGAACTCGCTCGCCCGTAGGCAGTCCCAAAGGCTGGAGAGTCCTCGCTGAGGGAGCGTTCCTGCTAAAACAAAGCACAAGCACCCTGCCTTTTGCATTTTATACATTTTCTTTTCTTTTTCTTTCTCTCTCTTTGTTTCTTTTTCTTTCTTTCTTTCTTTTTCTTTCTCTCTCTCTCTCTCTCTCTTTCTTTCTTTTTTGAACAGAGTTTCTGTGCTACTCAGGCTGAAATGTGGTGTGATCATAGCTCACTGCAGCCTCCAGTTCCTGGGTTCAAGTGATTCCCCCACCTGAGCCTACTACAGACAGGTCTGCAGGGGAAAGCCACCACACTCCGCTCATTGTTTTGTAGAGACGCGGGATCTTACCGTTTTGTCCTGGCTGGTCTCCAACCCTGGCACCAAGCAATCCTCCGGACTCCACCGCCCAACAAGCTGCGCCTACAGGCGTGAGCCACGCAGCTGCCTGGCCTTTCATGTGTTTCAGAAACCCACTCAGCATTTTCCTACCCCAGAGTGACGGTGGTGCACATGAGCATGGATTTCTCATAGACGCGCAGAGACCTGATTACTTCTCTAGGCGCCGATCTTGAAGAGGGGAGGCAGAGTTCAAGGCTTAATTAGGGGTCCAGGACGCATATGAGGAAGGTCTCCTTGGCTCTCATTTGAGCCTGAAGTAGCTGAGTCCATGGCAGAGGCCGTCAGAGGGCGGAGGCCCAGGTGAATGCCGCAGTGGGACATTTGTGAGGGCCGCAAAGGACGTTGTAGGAAATGAGGCTTGCGGGCGGCCTTGGGTGTTGAGACAGCTCTCAGGCGGAGTCTCAGGGCTCTGGGATCTTCTCCGTCTTGCTCGTACCTCTTTGTTTTTTGGGGAGGAAGCAGATAGGTCTCGTGTCGGGGCAGCAAGGAGCAGGAAGAAATGGATGAAACCAAGTCTACTGGGGTGGGCAGCGGCGGTGCCCTGGATGCCAAGAGAGACAGAGGGATGGTGCAGGTTCCAGACAAAATAGCGAGCAGGAACTTGAAAGGGAAAAGGGGAGTGTGTTGTGGGGACCTGCAGAGCTGGAATTCTGCCTGGGGAATCGGCCAGTGCCAGCGCCGGGGGTAGGGGTGGGCAGGGCGTTAGGAGCCTGCCCATGGTGATGGCGAAGCCCGGGGCGGGGGCCTGGTTGGTGGAGCAAGAGCAGCCGTCGGGAGAGAAGGAAAAGGCCCAAGCCTCCTTCAGGCTTGCTTCAGGACTCGGGGCAGGAGAGGAGATGCTGCTGGAGGATTCTGAGCAGGGGACGGCCTGGGTGGCAGCGGGGCAGAAGGAGAGCTGGACGGGGACGTGGTGACAGGCGACGCCGGCTCATCCAGGAAGGACGGCCAGGAGGGAGTGGAGGGAAAGGGGCATGCCGAGGTCCAGAGGCAGGAGCACCGGGAACATCCAGGGAAGGAGGGACGGGCAGGGGATTGGGAGACGGGGCACCCCGAGAGAGGGGTCCGGGCAGCAGGCAGACACCGCAGCCGGAGCTGCACCCCAGCTCACGGTCAGCCCTGGGAGGGCTTTGAGCAGAAGCGGGACAAGCGCCCACACCATGAGGCCACCCTGCCGCCGTCCTGGGCCCTGCACATGCCTCCTGCAGGCTGGGTGGCCGCCCACAAGGTCATTTAACGCCTGGTGCCTGTGGGCATCCTGCCAAGAGTTCGTTGGCATCGGAACGCTCTCCTGCCAAACCTGCCCCAGTGCCCCCAGCGCGGACCTGCTGTGAAGGGGAGCTCTGGAGATCACGCGTGAGCAATGCCGTGTGCTCTGCCCACAGGTTACTTCAATGATGGGGACCGCAATGACGGACACTACCCGCCCAGGCCCAGGCCACCTGCAGGTAGGTGCTGAGCCTCTCCAGGCGGGACACGTGCATTTGCTCAGAGAGGGTGGTGAGGAGAGGGACGCCCAGTCCAGGGGCAAAGCTGGTCACGGGTGGACGATAGGCTGGTGCAGGGGCTGACGGAGAAGGCCCCGGGGCTGCATCAGTGGCGTCGCGGTCTGGGCTTCCGTCTGCCTCTCCAGGCTGGCGGACGGGCTGGAAACACAATGGACAGATTCAACTGGAGGCTCCACGGAAACACGGGTGGGCATTTCTGTTTAGACTCCGCATGCGGAAACGCGGCTGGCTGTGCCTCGACACGGCTCCACGCACGTGCGTGCTTAGCCACCTCCGTCTGCGTGTACACGAATGTCCACACATCTGTGTTTGTGTCTCTATATGCTTTTAAATATACATAAACCCATTTACATACGCATGTATATGGCTTTTTTATGTTTTTATATATGTATATTTCTGACTTTATATACATGCTTATATATCTTTATACAGGTACATGTTTTATATTTGTGTATGTCTGTGTATTTATATACCAATATAGGCTTTTGTATATAATTATGTATCTATATGTATATCTTTTAATGTATCTTTATGTAATATATCTTTATGTGTATCTTTGAATACATATACATTTTTATATTTTATGTGTATGTTATATAAATACACATCTTTACATATATAATTACATATATCCCTTTACTTATACATATCTTTATATATGTACATATATACCTTTATGTATATATGCTTTTATATGTGTATGTGTATATTTATATATTCACTTTTATATATGCACATGTATGTATCTTTATATGTGTGTATTTCTTTATGTGCACTTACGCCTTTTTGTGTATATACCTTTATTTACATTATACATATATATACACACAACTTTATATATACGTGTGTATGTATCTTTATGTAGGTATATAAATGTCTTTATATATGTATACAAATATCTTTATATATCTATATACAACTTTTCTATAGGTATAAACACGTATGTATATATTTTATTTGTGTGTATATGCATATTTTATTTTATTTCTTTTTTTTTTTTTGACCTGAAGTCTTGCTCTGTCGCCCAGGCTGGAATACAGTGGCACAGTCTCTACTCACTTCAACCTCTGCCTCTCAGGTTCAAATGATTCTCTTGCTTCAGCTTCCCGAGTAGCTGAGATGACAGACACCCGCCACCATGCCTGGCTAATTTTTGTATTTTTAGTAGAGATAGGGTTTCACCACGTTGGCCAGGCTGGTCTCGAACTTGTGGCCTCAAGTGATCCACCCACTTTGGCCTCCCAAAGTGCTGGGATTACAGGTATGAGCCACCACACCTGGTCTATACGTATATCTTTTCATATATCTTTATGTATATCTTTATATATGTATCTATTTTATATACATTTTTATATTATATGTGTACATTATATAAATACATATTTTATACATATATAAGTATATACCTTTATTTATATATATCTGTATATCTGTACATATATACCTTTATGTATATGTGCTTTTATATATGTATGTGTATGTTTATTTATACACTTCTATATATACAAACGTATGTGTCTTTATGTGTATCAATATCTTTATATACAGATATATTTATATATCTGTATATAACTTTTATGTGTAAATATCTTATATAAGTATATATTTTATGTGTATATATGCATTCTTTGTACATGCATACATTTGTTAATATCTTGTCATATATGTATGTGTATATAGCTTACATGTTTCTATATTATTACATACACATATATACCTTCATATATGTATGTACACTTTTTTATATATGTGTATATATGTCCCTTTGTATATGTGTATATATACTTTTAGGTATATGTGTGTGTGTGTGTGTATATATACACCTTTATATGTGTACATATATCTTTATGCACACAGACATAAGAAAAACCTTCTGTAATTGGAGGTGAATGTCTACCAAGAATCTTTCATGTGGAAATGCAAGCATGGACAATAGGAGAGAGAGATGCGTGCACCACTGGGCTGAAGAGTGTGACGTTTGAGGCTTTAGTTTCAAGCACGTGAGGTTTCCGGTGTGTTTAGTTCTGCAGCTTTATTTTAGAAGACATAAGGGTCTCTTCCTAGATATTTTGCAAAGCTGGACACCCTGATTGCATCCAGTCATCTGTTCTGCCACGTTTACTTGCAGCAAATAAGGAGTATTGTCTTGGAATTTATTACATTAACAATCAGGAATAAACTAAAAATAACTAGTTCTTTTTGAAAAGAGAAACTAAAATATTTATGATTGAGGCCATCTTCTGGAAGGTCCTTCTAATCCTGCCTCGGTGGGGCTCTTCTCATACCGCTTTCTCCGCAGAAAGAGGGTGAGCCTGCAGGAATTTAGAGTTCCCAGGGTAAATGTTTGTTCTGTGATGGCAAAGTGTGTTTTCTAGCTAGAGCTCAGTGTTGGCTTGAGTTTTCCCACAGGGACGAGGAAGCTTTGGTGGGGCCTCCCTTGACTCTCCCCGCTGCTGATCACTCTTTGGAGCTCTCTTGGGAATGACAGAGTCACACGACTTGTCATTCCCAATGAGCTGGACAGACCAACCCCTGCAGGACATTCCATGCTTGGACACCTAAACATCCTTCAACTCTACCTGCTCTGTCTAACAGGAGGCGGCGGCGGTGGCTACTCCAGTTACGACAACTCCGGCAACACACACGGTACCCCCACATGTGTGCAAGCGGTGGTGGGCAGAGGGCGGGAGGGGTCGTCTTTCTGGGATCCCGGTTGCATTCTGCCCTGGGCCTTCTACCTGGAGTCTTTGGTGAGTGGGGTGTTCTGTGCTGGTGCCTGGTCTTCTGAGAACCTATCTGTGCTGGGCTGTCTGGTTTCTGTTCCCCAGGAGGGTGGGTGCAGCCACACACACACACACACACACACACACACACACACACACACACACCTCTGCTTAGGTAAATGTAAACAGAGCAAAGAGCTATACAACAGATTAGAGAGAGAGAGAGCATCCAACAAACGGGACATTCTTTAGGGGTGCAGCTCACTGACGTCAAACAGAATAGAAAACACTTTCCATGGCTGGAAGTGGTGGGTCTGCTCACTTCAACCTCCGCCTCCCGGCTTCCAGCAATTCTGCTGGCTCAGCCTTCTGAGTAGCTGGGATCACAGGCATGTGCCAGCACACTCGGCTAATTTGTATATTTTTAGTGGAGATGGGGATTTCATCGTGTTGGCCAGGCTGGTCTCGAACTCCTGCCTTCAGGTGATGTGCCCTTCTTGGCCTCCCAAAGTGCTGGGATTATGGACGTCAGCCACTGTGCCTGGCCTTGAGTACCCAATCTTTTTAACTCATATATGCCAAGACTTCTTGCAACGTGGGAAGTGCTTTTTTTTTTGTAAGATATGGTCTCATCAGGCTTTGTGAGAGCCGCGGCTCTTGGCCCCCTAAATTTTCTCTGAAAATCACTGACATGAGGCAGCTTAATTGACAGGAGAAAAAGCATATAAGTTGATTGACTTGGTATACACGCAAAGCTTCAGAACAAAGACTCAACCACCAATCGGATGCAAAAGCTTATAGAGCATCTTTTTCAACTTTTATCTGAGGTTCGGGGGGTCCTTGCGTAGGTTTGTTATATAGGTAAATTGTGTGTCACAGGGGTTTGGTGTACAGATTATGTCACCACCCAGGGAATAAGCATAGTACCCGGTAGGTAGGTTTTCCATCCTCACTCTTCTCCCGCCCTCTGCCCTCAAGGAGGCCCTGGTGTCTGGTGTTCCCTTCTTTGTGTGCATGTTGTCAATTGAGAAAAACGATGGCACACGTCTACGAGATTTATCTGCCAAAGTGAAGGCTGTGCACCAGGAGACAGGCCTGTGCCTTCCTCCGGAGAGGATTTTGAAGGCTCCAAATTTAAAGGGGAAAGGGTGGGAAATTGAGCAGTGCATAATTTTTATGGAAGAGGGGGATGGGGAAAAAGAGTTATTCACGCTTTTGTCTGGCTCAGTGACTCTGCATTTTTTTTTTTTTTTTTTACCTAAGATGACATAAATGAATGGGGCAGAGGGAAAATGCAGGGAATCTGGACAAAATGGGATGGGGAGCAATCAGGTCTGCATTTGTGTGCGGTGGGCGGGGGTGACCGCCTGCACCTGGAAAGAGAAGCTATCAATTTGCATTGTCGCGGTGAAATGTTAACAGTTCACTGGGAATCACCTTATAAGCAAAATATGGGGGAGATGTGTGGCTTTTCATCTGGTAGCCATTTTTTTTTAGGTATGAAAATGGGGAGGCGGGTTTGTGCGGCCCAGTTCCCAGCTTGACTCTTCCCTTTGGTTAAACGGGTTCAGAATCGCAAAATCCAATTTCCATTCGCAAGGCGCACTCCATGTTGAGCTCCCGCTTGTAAAAGAGAACACATGGGATTTGGTTTTCTGTGCCTACATCAGTTTGCTTAGGAGAATGGCCTCCAGCTCGATCTGCGTGCTGCCGAGGACATGATATTGTTCTTTTTTGTGGCTGTGTAAAATTCCACAATGTATATGGGCCACAGTTTCCATATCTAGTCTACCACTGATGGGAACCTAGCTTGATTCCACGTCTTTGCCATTTGAGTTTGTTATTTGCTGTTCTTTGTAGGAAGAACGTGGGCTCAGAGCGCGGCCCAAAATAGGTGATGTTGGTAAAGCAGGTTTAACAGGCGAGCCAGGTGATGGATGAGAGGGAGGCAGGAAGAGGCCTGGCTAGCTAGGGGGTCCTTGTTCTGCAGATGAAGCTTCGCGGGTAGCAGCGCTCAGAGACAAAGTAAATGTTTCTTTTCAGACCTGTAAAGGCGTCAGAGTCAAGTATGACGTCTACATAGTTCGTGGGGGAAGGCTGGTCTCCCCACCCTAATCTTATTATGCAAATGAGCTGTCCAGTTGATTGCTTCCACCTGTCTGCTTCTTGCTGTCCACGTGGCCGACAAAGAGGAGGGAAGATGGAGTCGCCATCTTGAACCTGTCTGGTCCCCCGTTTCTGCTGGCGTTCACCTGCGCACGCTCGTAGCTGGCTTGTCTATGTCTGAAGCTCGACTTTATAGGCTGCTTTTTGTTAGAAAATGATTAAAAAGAAAAACCTTGCTGGGCGCGGTGGCTCAAGCCTGTAATCCCAGCACTTTGGGAGGCCGAGGCGGGTGGATCACGAGGTCGAGAGATCGAGACTATCCTGGTCAACATGGTGAAACTCCGTCTCTACTAAAAAAATACAAAAAATTAGCTGGGCATGGTGATGCGTGCCTGTAACCCCAGCTACTCGGGAGGCTGAGGCAGGAGAATTGCCTGAACCCAGGAGGCGGAGGTTGCGGTGAGCCGAGATCGCGCCATTGCACTCCAGCCTGGGTAACAAGAGCCAAACTCCGTCTGACAAAAAAAAAAAAAAGAAAAGAAAAAAAGCCTTACTGATAACTCCCATACCCCTGCTATGTGCCTAAGTAATTAAGCAATTCCTTCTTAACTCCTGTATCAACTGGAGTTCTTGCTTTTTTTTCTTTAAACAGAGTCTCATTTTGTTGCCCAGGGTGGACTGCGGTGGTGAAATCATAGCTCAGTACAGACTCAATCTCTTGGGCTCAAGCAATCCTCCTGCCTCAGCTTCCTGTGTAGCTGGGACCACAGTTGTATGCCACCACACCTGGCTACTATTTTAAAATTTTTTATAGAGATGGGGTCTCGCTATGTTGCCCAGGCTGATTTTCAACTCCTGGCCTCAAGTGCTCCTCCCACCTCGGCCTCCCAAAGAGCTGGGATTACATGAGCCACTGCACCTAACCAAGACTGGAGTTTTATTATTCAGATCAGTCTCCCCAAAAATTTGGACACTGGGCTTTTAAAGTATAATTTGGCCAGTAGGAGACCCGGGAGTAGGGAATGCTGATTGGCTGGTTAGAGATGGAATCAGAAGACGGAAGGGCGTTCCTCTTGCTGTCTGTTCCTGTGTGGGATGGCGGTGCTGGCTGCTGCATCTGAATGCAGGGTTTACCACATATCTCAACTTCAACCTTAGGTTTTACGATAGTGATGCTATCCCCCGAGGAGGTTTGGAATCTCGTGGCCTCTGGTTACATGACCCCTAACCCGTGACCTTGCCCGCTGCCTAGCTAGACAAAGCTGATTGATCAAGACAGAGGAATTGCAATGGAGAAAGAGTAATTCACGCAGAGCCAGCTGTGCCGGACACAGGAGTTTCATTATGACTCAAATCAGTCTCCCCAGGCATTCAGGGACCAGAGTTTTTAAAGATAATTTGGTGGGTAGCGGCTTGGGAAGTGGGGAGTGCTGATTGGTCAGGTTGGAGATGGAGTCACAGGGGGTTGAGTGAGGTTTTCTTGCTGTTTTCTGTTCCTGGTGGGGTCAGCGTATCCATCCAGTGCAGGGGCTGCGAAATATCTCAAGCACTGGACTTAGGTTTTACAATAGTGATGTTATCCCCAGGAGCAATTTGAGGGGTTCAGACTCTTGGAGCCAGAGGCTGCATGTCCCGTAAACTGTAATTTCTTTCTTTCTTTCTTTCCTTTTTTTTTTTTTTTTTTTTTGAGACAGAGTGTCGCTCTGTCACCCACACTGGAGTGTGGTGACATGATCTCAGCTCACTACATCCTCCGCCTCCTGGGTTCAAACAATTCTCCTGCCTTAGCCTCCCAAGTAACTGGGACTACAGGCATACGCCATCACGCCCAGCTAATTTTTGTATTTTTATTAGAGACAGGATTCCACCATACTGGTCAGGCTGGTCTCGAGCTCCTGACCTCAGGCAAGCCACCCGCTTTGGCTTCTCAAAGTGCTAGATTACAGGCGTGAGTCACCGCGCCCAGCACTAAACCATGATTTCTCATCGTGTAGCTAATTTGTTAGTTCTGTAAAGGCAGACTGGTCCCCAGGCAAGGAGGAGGGGTTTTCAGGAAAAGGCGATTATCAGTTTTGTTTCAGAGTCAAACCATGAACTGAATTTCCTCCTAAAGTTAGTTCGGCCTATGCCCAGGAATGAACAAGGTCATCAATGCCTCGGTTACGATTTTTGCAAAGGTGGTTTCGTCATGTTGCCCAGGCTGGTCTTGAACTGGGCTCAAGCGATCCTCCCACCTTGGCCTCCCTAAGTGCTGGAATTACAGGCCTGCACCACCCCGTCCGGCCCACCTTGGAGTGTGTTATATGAAGCCTAGGAATGAGCCTTCTGTGGAAATCCTCTGTCTGTCAGGAGCTGCTCGGGACGTGTTCTTTTGTTCTGTGGCATACTCATGGATTAGAACGAAATGACTCATCAAGCGGTTCTCCTGAGAGCCCTGATCATTTCCTGTATTCTTGTGAAGTTACTCTCAGGACGTCTGCGCTGTGCCATTTTTGGGGAGACCATTATCTGGCTCCAGAATGGATCAAAGCGTACCGGTCGGGGTGCTGCTCCATCCCTGGGCCAAAACTGCAGGGAAGTATCCCTGTGCTCCTTGGCAGGGCCAGGGCCCGGTGGAAGCACAGCCAGGCTGGGGGCATGATGCCTGCTTTCAAGGACGCCTGTGCCTCTCTTTCCGCCCGGATGCCTGCTCTCCGGCCCCCACGGAGCGAGGCTGTGAGTCAGCGCTGGGATTAGCATTAGCAGGAGGCGCCTGCTGGGATGAGTCACCCAGCTTCTCCCCAGAGGCAGCAAAGCGCGTTCGGCCTCTTCCCGCCTCATCCGGAGCACCGAGGGTGGGGGGAACACGTTTCACTCGTTTTTAAATGCTAATGGACGGCTTTCTCCCAGACCCACTGTTTTAGTCTGCGAAGGCTGCCATAGGAAAGTGCTCCAGTCAGGAGTGCTGAAACAGAAGGGCTTCATCTCCCACCGGCCTGGAGGCGGGAGGTCTGAGATCCAGCGTGGGCAGGCCTGGCTCCTCCTGGGCTTGGCGACACCGTGTTCTCCCTGTGTCCTCACCGGGTCGTCCTCTGTGTGTGTGTGTGTCTGTGTCTTCATCTCCTCCTCTCAGAAGGACTATTGTCCTTTGGAGCGGGGCCCACCCTGGTGACCTCGTTTTACTTTAATCACCTCTTTAAAGACCTTGTCTTCAACCACAGTCACAGTCCCGATCCCCTGGGGGTTAGAACTCACTCGACCTGTGAATTTGGAGGGGGATACAGTTCAGCCCATAGAACCCACTGTCCATATAAATCATTCCACTTCAAAATCAGCACAAAGCACTTTAAAAAAAAAAAATCTCAAATCTGTATTTTAAAAATCGCTTTTAACACATTAGAAAAAGAAAGAAGAACTTTTTGGTTTTTGTTTTGGCTGAGACAAACTCTCACTCTGTAGCCCAGCCTGGAGTGCAGGGGCGTGACCATAAATCATCGCACCCTCTGCCCCAGCCTCCCCAGTAGCTGAGACTGCAGGTGCACACCACCACATCCAACTAATTTTTTTTATGTTTAGTAGAAACGGGGTCTCGCTGTGTTTCTCAGGTCGGACTCCAACTGAGCTCAGGTGGTCTTATAGCCGTGGCCTCCCAAAGTGGTAGGATTACAGGTGTGAACCACCACACCCAACCAGGAGAAACTCATTTTCTTTTTTTTTGGAGGAGTTTCACTCTTGTTGCCCAGACTGGAGTGCCGTGGTACGATCTTGGCTCACTGCAACCTCTGCCTCTCGGGTTCAAGCGATTCGCCTGTCTCAGCCTCCCAAGTAGCTGGAATTACAGGCGCCCACCACCATGCTCGGCTAATTTTTGGTATTTTTAGTAGAGATGGGGTTCTACCAGGTTGGCCAGGCTGGTCTCGAACTCCTGACCTCAGGTGATCCAATCACCTGGCCTCCCAAAGTGCTGGGATTATAGGCGTGAGCCATGAGCCATCGCGCCCAGCGAGAAACTCTTTTCTTTCTTTCTTTTTTTTTTTTTTGAGTAACTCTTTTTTTAATGGGTTTTGATTACTGTTTATGGCCTGCGTTTTCACCCTGTTGTCCTTTTTTAACCAACATTTGCTGGCGATTTTTCTTTTTGATGTCCAAGAAAACACATTTGCCCATCTATGTGAGGCCCCAGACCCTCAGGGACATACATGGAATGCACCTTCAGGCACCAGGCTTGTGAACAGTAAACAGGGGCGAGGCGACACCTGTGCTCCTCCCCTGGCGCTGGGAGAGCCTTTCAAAGCATCTTGCTCAGGTTTGCTGACCTGTTTGCTTCTGTGAGATCATGCAGACTTCCCGGCAATATCTTGTATTTCTTGGTCTCTTTTCTACCCTGAAGAAAGAGTGAGCTGTAGACTCAACTCTCTTTATGGAAATACTGATGGTAAAGGAATTACGTCTTACAGAATGTGTGAGGCAAAACTGTCCGTTTGTGAATAACGAATACACTGTCTGGGTGCTGATGGGAAGCTGGCGCTTTTATCCAATGCACAACAGCCAACTGGCCATCCGGGTCTCTAATCGGCATTTTCCTTTGGCATCCGTGCTGGGGGAGATGCTGCGCATGCCATGAAGACTTGGTTTCTTGAAAAGAACCATGGCCCACTTACAGGTGTTATTGGGTGCATGCACGTGAACGTGTGTGTATGCATGCATGTGTGTTTGCACACAGGTATGTGTGTGTATTGTGCATGCATGAACGTACACGTGTGCATGTGGGTTTTGTAATCATGTGCATAATGCATGCAGATAACGAGTGCACGTGTGGAAGTGTCTGTGCACACGTGCGGACTGAGTGCATGCATGTTTGTGTAACTGGAATTTGCGTGTGTGCTTATTTGTGCTTGGGTCGCATATGTATTGCACGTTTCCCATGTGTGTCCATTCACATGCATACATTTAGGGGTGTGCAAGCACACGTGTGCCTCTGGGTGTGTGCTACCACATGTGCACGCGGGTACTGCATGAATATATCATATGCACCTGTGTTTATGTGTGTGTGCATATTTGTGTGTGCATGCATGTGTTGATGTGTTTCTGCATACAGGTGCACACATCGGAATGGGCATATGCGTGCATGTGTACAGGTGTATGTTTAGGTAAATTGTGCTTTATATGTGCTTGTGTTGCCTGTGTGTGTGTGCGTATGTGTGTTTGTGCATGTGTGTGAATGTGTGCATTGAATACATGTGTGCTTCTGTGTTGCATTTGCTCGTACGTGTTGCACATGTGTGGAAATGCATGTGTGTGTATGCACATGTTCGTGTGTGCTTGCCTGCCTTTTGTTGCACAAGCTTGTTACATGCTACACGTGTGTATGCATGCGCACACACATTTGTGCAGGTCAGTGCGTTGCACGTGCATGTGTGTATGAATGGCATGTGTGTGTGCATGTGTGTCCGTGAGGTTGTCCGCCTGCGTGTGTTTTGCATACGCGTGTACGTAGACTCCCCAACCCTGAAATGAAAGCTGCATCTCCCTCTCCCTGGTATCATCCCCATTCCGTGAATGACTATTAGACATGGCATGCACATTCACCCTCCTCCGCCTCATGCTGCTTGGCTGTCCCCCTCCCCCGACAAGACTGTAAATTCCCTGAAAACAGGGACCTGTGTGCTGTGCCATAGTCGCATCTTTAACAGTGCCTAGCAATAGAAGGCACTCCATAAGCGCTGCTGAATAAACACGAGTGTCCTTTTTGTTTACAGGTGGAGATTACCATGTGGGGCACGACTCCTCAGAAGGTAACTGATTGACTCACCTGGTCCCAACCTTTAAGAAGCGCACAGACTCCTAAATCAATGCTTCCCAACCCCATGGCTTCCATGGAGCACTCACAGTTTCTGTGTATGTAGAGTAGCGTCTGAACAAAAATGTCTGACTATTTTTGTTCCGAGGCTACTTTACATACATACACACAACCGATCAGAGTTCAGACAAAGGAGGGGCAAGCATTGGTTTTCACTGCGCAAGATGCCTCTTTGCTCTCAGAGCAAGACTGAGTGCTGAGACTGCCGGATTTCTCCCGGTACCGCCATTACTCCCCTTTCTTTCACCAGCGCTAACTTGAAACCCAAGAACGACAGGAGAAAGGGAGTTGTGAACACTCTGCCCAAAGAAGTCCTCAGGGTGCACTGTCAGCCCCGTCTCAGGTCCAAGGAGGGAGAACTTTAGGTGCAGAGGCTGACTTTGTATCCTGTGTGGCTGCGAGAACAGGCTCCTCATTCCCTGAGTCCGACTCAGAGATTTGGGCTGCCACCTGCTTGAGTTTACGCGGAGTTGAGAGTAAATGCACTCAACCCCAAGGCTCTTGTGAGTTTTCAATTATGGGGGAGGAGAAAGCGATTGAAGGCGACCTCTACGCTTCAATGCAGAGGACCAGCGTCAGTATTTTTGGGGTATGCTGGCATCCTTAGAAAAATTTATTGATTCTCCTTTTTCCCTCTGTGGTGTCAAGTGAGGTCCAGAGATGGAGAGGGCAAGGCAAATGAACAAGTGATTGCAGTCAAGTCTGATGAATAATTTTCTGGAACGTATGGGAATCTGTAGCAGGGTGGAAGGGATACTCCTAGACTGGGTTGGGTGATGGAGGCAGGGCTTCCTGGACAGAACAATATCCAAGAGAATGCCCAAAATGTGGGTGGGAGGCGCCCAGGAGCAGAGTGAGGTGTCAGGGAAGATAGTGTGCTAGGTAGAGCTGGATACACATGCGGGGACACCAGAAATTGTGTAGCCAGGGTGTGGAATGCAACGGGAACCGGGGAAGGATGCAATGGTGACTGGGGAAGATGGCCAGGTTAGCAGAGGTGGATTCTGCACCTCATAGAACCTTCATGGGAAGGAGTCTGCCCCTGTTGATGTGTGCGTGAAGAATGGATCTGAGGAGGCTCACTAAGGCCCAGGGAGACCCCCTTTCAGACCAGTTCAGAACCCCCTGGAAATGACAACAGGCTGAATTAAAGCCCAGGCAAGGGAGGCGAAGAGAAGCGGTCAGCTTGGATGACCACTTGGTAATGACAATTGATTGTACTTGACTGATCGGTAAGAGACGGCAAAGAGGAAAAGGCATGTATCAGTCAGTTATGCTGTGTGACAAAAGACCCCAAAACGCAGTGGCCAGAAATAACAACCATCTGTTATGTTTGTGATTATGTGAGTCAGCAATTTGGGCTAAAACCAGTCTAGTGCCCCTTCTGGTCTCTTCCGAACTTCCTCTCTTGTCTGCAGTCAACTGTAGGTGTGGCCAGTGCTTTGATGATGTTTCCTGGGTCTTCTTAATGTATCTGGGGCCGTAAGTGGAATGGCTCATCTCAGCTTCATGTGGGTTCTGACATCCCTCCAGGAAGCCAGGCCAGGTTTCAGCACATGGTGACCAGGCAGGGTACCAACAGCTGGGCTTAGAGCCATCACATCTTCACTTCCGTGGCATCCTGTTGGCTAAAGCCTGGATTCTCAGAATAAAGATGCGATCCTCCTCTGGATGGGGAACACTGTGAAGTCATATTGTGGAGTGTGTGCACGCAGGGAGGGGAAGAATACAGGGCCATCTCTCGAGGGAGGCAGGATGAGGCAGGTGGCAGCATCAGCGTAGGGCAGGTTCTTGTGTTCAGTGACAATACTCTTTCCCCCAGCTTGGCAGCCTTATTCATGGAGCAGCCTTGTGTCCCTCAGCTATGTCATGCCGCGTATCGGCCCAGGTGTTCAACCCAGTCTGAAGAAAGCCATGCATGGAAAGGGTGGCCATTTCAAATGGAAACACTGATTTCTTCCTTTTTTACCCTTTGCAAGTGTCGATTTTTGTCACATCAACGTCGTCCTTGTTCTTTGTGCAGGAGGACCAAAGCTCTGGGGTAATTTGCCATCGAGGCATTGAAGGTGCCTATGTTTGGTGTGTGCTTGGGTCTAGAGTTCCAGCATGCCTTTGAAAGTGGGCCTATCTGGCAGTTTTTAATTGAACAATATTTTTGCATGAGTAAACATTCTACATCTGAAAAGACACAAAATAGTTTTGACACATGCCTATCACCCCAGCTACTCAGGAGGTGGAGGCAGGAGGATCACTTGAGCCTAGGAGTTCAAGACCAGCTTAGGCAGCATGGTGAGACCCCACCTCTAAAAAAATAAAGAAATCAGGCCTGTAATCACAGCACTTTGGGAGGCTGAGGCGGTGAGTCACCTCAGGTCAGGGGTTCGAGACCCGCCTGGCCAACATGGTGAAACCCCATCTCTACTAAAAATACAAAAATCAGCCAGGCATGGTGGCGCACACTTGCAGTCCCAGCTACTCAGGAGAATCGCTGAGGCAGGAGAATCGCTTGAGCCCAGGAGGCAGAGGTTGCAGGGAGCCAAGATTATGCCACTATATTCCAGAATAAGTGACAGACTGGGACTCTGTCTCAAAATAAGAATAATAACAAATAAATACATCAAATTAATAAAAATGCACACACAAATTGAATTCAACAAACAAACAAAAATGCCGAGTGCCTCCTCTGTGCAAATCCGGGCCTTGGATGTCTTCAGTGGGAAAATGTGGTTGAAAAGCTTGGCTCTTTGTAAACACAGAATTGCTTTCTACGTTTTTTTTTTTTTTTCTCTTTTGTTTATTTTTTAAAATTAACTTTCTCTTTTTTTTTCTGTGGACACAAGGGTGGGAAGAGATATGATGGAGAAGTTATTAGATCGATGCAACAGTTGTTGCAAGTTTTGCTATTACTTTCAATGGCCAAAACCACAATCACTTTTGCACCAACCTAATATTTAAGCAGTTTTCCGACCTGCCGTGCTTTTTCTCAGATGAGCTTGCCTTTTCTCCACTCCCGCAGGCAATATGGTAGCAAAAATCGTGTCTCCCATTGTGTCTGTGGTGGTAGTAACACTGCTGGGAGCAGCAGCCAGCTACTTCAAACTGAACAGTAGGAGAAATTGTTTCAGGACCCACGGTAAGTTTGGCTCTAAACATTGTTTTCCTTGTTATTAAGCCTGATTTTTTTTTAAAAAATGACTTTCCGATGTCTGTCACTAGTAAGGTTATTTCTGCTTAAGTTCAATATACATAACTTGACTAATAATGTGGTTTTTAAAAATTTATTTTCAGTTTTTTTGAGATGGAGTTTCACTCTGTTGCCCAGGCTGGAGTGCAGTGGCGAAATCTCAGCTCACTGCAACCTCCGCTTTCCAGGTTGAAGAGATTCTCCTGCCTCAGCCTCCCAGAGAGCTGGGACTATAGGCGTGCATCACCACGCCTGGCTAATTTTTGTATTTTTAGTAGAGAGGGGTTTCACTGTGTTGGCCAGGCTCTTCTTGAACTCCTGACCTCAAGTGATCTGCCCTCCCCGGCCTCCCAAAGTGCTGGGATCACGGGCGTGAGCCACCGTGCCCGGCCGACAATTGGGTTTTCATGGTCATGTGTGAGCTGTACCTTCCTCTAAACCTTGTTACAATGACATTAGCACATTATCTGTCTCATGTAAAACAGGGAGAGAAAAAAAGGAAAGAAAAAGAACCAGAAAAAAAAAAAAAGTTTATAAGCGTGACGGTTGATTTAACTAGACAAATATAGTTCCGTTTTGTTTTGTAGTCAGTGAAACTTTCATCACAGGTGAGTCAGGAAATATCAGGAAAAATATCTGGGTTGAACGTGAATGTTTTGCACAGACCCCACCCACAAAGAAAAATACAGAGCACTAAATTATAAGCCTGTCTATGGAATTTCGAAGCTGTGCTCAGACCATCGGGGAAAGAACGATCTGCTGTGGCTTCCTGGTTCAATGTCGGCTCCACACTCCTGGGTCTGAAGAATCACTTCGGACTTGAGAGCAGAGAATACCATAAAGAAATCTCGGAAACAACAGTCAGAGGAGGTAGAGGGATGCTTTATAGCCAAAAGAGTGACTCAAATCTTTAACTGAGGGTCTCTGAAGGTTTGGTTTAAACCTTATGCCACCCACATCAGAATCTGTCTGGAGTTTGCCCAGGGCCCTGTAACTCAGACCTTCTTTGTGTCCCTGAAAAAAACTAGAAAGGGAAGCCCATTCCTAAGATGTTTTCTTTAGAATGTGCATTTGGCCTCAAAAAATCCTAAAACCTTCCCATGCACTCCCTCTGCTGGTGAATGGGCAAAACATTCCCATGCGCTCCGTCTGCTGGTGAATGGGCAAAACGTTTCCATGCGCTCCCTCTGCTGGTGAATGGGCAGTATCAACCACTAGCTAATGAACCTTTTGGGGTGAGCCTCCGTCTACATTACACCCTATCCTGAAATTTTGAGAGTAAACCGAGTTTCTGAAAAACAGCCTTATTTCCCTGGCAACCTGAGAGCAGATTCTTGGGTGCAGTGACAACACTCTTTCACCCGACATGGCAGCCATCATTAACGAAGACACCACATGTTAATTTCAGTAGCATCTATGACAGTGATTCCTAAGCCTTTGTTAATCAAGGGCTGAAATTGAGTGAGCAGAGAGCGGTACCCATGTCCACAAGCACAAAATGTCCCCACAGGGGCCAGGGTTCATCCACAAACTCAATAATCAAGACAAATATATTTCAGTGCAGTGTTTTAAAAGGAAAATCAAATCTTCAAACTACAGCCTGCAGGCCAGCTGTCTGTTCATGTAAATAAAGCTTTATTGGAATGGGGCCAGTTGAATTTCTGAAATAGGTGTAGTTTTGAAAATGTGGACCATGCCTGCCCCATTTACCTGAGGTGGAAGCACGTTTTTGCTAAGGAGATGTAACGCCTCGAAGCCCTTTCATGCCTTTTGGCTACCTGGTAAGTATTTCATCTCATTTCTCTATGGTACGTCAGTGTTACCTTTACCAAGTATCTCCAAGCACCAAGTTTAACTTCCCCTCGCTTAAAGTTCCTTAAAGAGATCAAAACGGAGGAGGATGCAGACAGAGTGAGATGATGTTAGGGGAATCTCTTCAAGGTGAGCAGTGACTTATATGTGGATCTGGGGCCTATATCACCTCGCTGGCTATAAAACCTTTCTACTAAGTAGGAAATATGTGTATGGCAGCACTATGTATGGGTTTGGTACCAAATGGGGCTTAGGGATCTGCAAACTTCACTCCAATGGTACCCAGCTGTCCATCTTTCCTTAGTTGAGTCATTAGTTTTCTCTCTCCTGAAGGATGATGCCCATGGTATACTAACCATATCCATGGTGACATAGTGCAGTGCACAGCCTGTGGAACCGTATCCATGCTGAGGCCATACACCGAAGCTTGCACAGTTTCTAGAGAAACAGTTGTAGTAACGGAGCTACATAGATAGGAGCAGTCTGTCACTTGATGTGGACTTTTAAGAATCATACTTTGCTTTTATTTTGTAAAGTGGAGCAAATAACAATAGCACTTCAGAAGTGATAAAGACCAGTGAGGCCATATTTAAAACAAGAAGTTCCTACAAAGATTAGTTTTAACCAAAAAGAAAGTTATGCAATTCATTTAAGATCATCAAAATCCTTAACAAATGGAAAAATGTAAAAAACAATGTTTTGAAAACTAATATTTGTTTGCAGATATGATTTTAACAGTTTTAAAATACTTTTTATTTTTAATTTTTCCAGGTTTGTTAATGCATAGTTGACAGATAGACAGTGTGTATATTTAAGATGTACAACTTCATTTCTGCATCATTTATTTCTATTCTAATCTATTTCCTTCTGCTGAATCTAAAGCAAGTCTCATGTAGACAGCACATAGTTGGCTCTTGGTTTTCTTTTTTTAAAATAGATTTTTCAGGCCAGGCGCGGTGGCTCAAGCCTGTAATCCCAGCACTTTGGGAGGCCGAGGCGGGTGGATCACGAGGTCAAGAGATCGAGACCATCCCGGTCAACATGGTGAAACCCCGTCTCTACTAAAAATACTAAAAATTAGCTGGGCATGGTGGCACGTGCCTGTAATCCCAGCTACTCAGGAGGCTGAGGCAGGAGAATTGCCTGAACCCAGGAGGCGGAGGTTGCGGTGAGCCGAGATCGCGCCATTGCACTCCAGCCTGGGTAACAAGAGCGAAACTCTGTCTCAAAAAAAAAAAAAAAAAAAAAAAAATAGATTTTTCATTCTTCTAGCTTTCTTAAGGTGTAATAGACAAACAGTGTCACAATCTCAGCTCACTGCAACCTCCACCTCTTGAGTTCAAACAATTCTCTTGCCTCACCCTCCTGAGTAGCTGGGATTACAGGCATGTGCCACCACACTCAGTTAATTTTTGTGTTTTTAGTAGAGACGGGGTTTCACCATCTTGGCCAGGCTTGTCTCAAACTCCTGACCTCATGATCTATCCACCACGGCCTCCCAAAGTACTGGGATTACAGGCATGAGCTATGGCTCCTGGCCCATTTCTGCTTCATTTCTTTCTGTTCTAATCTACTTCCTTCTTCTAAATCTAGAGCACATCTTCTGTAACAGCATATAGTTGGATCTTGGTTTTCTTTTTCTTTTTTAAATAGGCTTTTTTTTTGTCCCCACGATGACATTTGTTTCCAATCTTCCTTTCAGAACCAGAAAATGTCTGAAGATGTTAAGATCCCCTGATTACTTTGAGAAAAACTCAACCAAAACAAGAACGCTGTTTATCACTGTTATAGAAATTTCCTTTTATTCTTGACACAATTTGATGAGCTAAAGTGTGTTTTCTTCTGTGTGAAGTATGTGAGCTGCCTCACTAAGAATTCCCAACTCATTGGATGTGATGTGGTTATAAAGATAAGTTAGGCAGCTAGACCCTGCATTGTAAAAAAAAAAAAAAAAAAAAAAAAATGCTTTCTCTGTTGGTTTGTCATTCATTCGCACAGAGAGACTGTGGCTCCCTGTTCTGAAAACTTCAGGTACTTCGTGGTGCATTAACACACACATGCTGAACCATGGTGATGTGACAAAGCAGTAAGCAGTAGGGAGGGGATGTTATCAGCTTCTGGGAGCTGAAGAATACTGTTGAGGTTCCAAGGATGCTGGACCTATGCTAAATTCTTCAGTGATGTGAAAAATCATTGAGCGTTCATCATTGCTAATGAAATGGATATGAATTATTTCTGACACCCACAGGCAAGGTTTGAACGTCCTTTCAGCTCTGATGTATCTGCACATAAAGTTATTATTACCTGAGAAAATAAGTGCATTTTGAAATGTTCAGTGCAAAACGACTTATGTTAAAACCATCTGGGGGAAATCTTGGGATACTTTTTCCTGGGAAATCATATAGTTTTGATGTGTTTTGGCACATAGGAGACAGAAATGGTGATTATCAGAAGTATTTTCAGTCTTTGAAATTCTGTAAGTACTAGTTCCTAAGGCGACAACATTGCTTTCCTTGCTTTCAACGTTTTCAGTTCACCAGAGTAGGAAGTCTTAAATCCTTAGGCATCCAAGAAGTATGCTAGCTATTTGCTTCTCTTTTAGAAACACTTGTGGGCAGAGGGAAAAGGATGGTTTGGGCCTATTTGTATAGCTTGATTAAACTCAGGTTAATGTTCATAAAACATTTAGATTTTGCCCTAAATATCAGAACCAAAGATTAAGACATGCATGTACAGTCTGGAATGTACATACAGGACCCATAAAAATTTCTAGTATTCATGCTTTGTGCTCACCATTATGAATTGGGGTTTTCAAAGAGAGAAGGCTGAAAGTGAAAACCACTTGAAAGAGCTCCCCAATTTGTAAAATACCTTCAGCTAATAATTCACATTAGGTAACTCAGACTTGTGTCTCTCAAATTGTGGATTCATGCCTAATTTGTGCAATTTGAAGATAGCCCATATTTCCTATTTCAGTATTCGTTCCTGCAACACTTTTTAATTCTTGTAGAAGTTCTCTTGAAGAAATGGTGATGTCTGATGCTTAATTACTATTTTCTCTATCAGAATTTCAACATGAGCTCAATTAAATTCTTGTGAAAAAGTCTTTGTGTTTTTAGTTACATACATACACACATACCTACTTAAATGGAATCTAAACATTTTTAGCCTTTAATCCATTCCATTTTCTAAACTGTCATAAACCATTTTTAATCATTTTAAATAAAGGTAAGAGAAAAATACTGGATTTGATTGTTGCATAGTTTTTTCTAGATTTCACAAATAAATTTTATGAAATAGCTGTAGAAGTGGCCCCAAAATTATGAACCTTCACAGCTGAGGATAATATGCAACAAATCTCTTAAAGCTCCAGATAGATTATGAACATATGACATACACAGCATTACCTAATAATGACATAAAACTCACCTGGGTGACAAGGATAATGTTCAACCCACTTAAAATGAAAACGTTTGAATAATGGTTGCTTGGGGGAACCTCTCTTTGTGGAGTCATGAGGACCACCTTTAGGATATTCTTTTCATGCTGAGAAAGTGGTAATTGAACAGATGAGAAAAGCCTTGATCAAATGCCATGTCCTTGATTGTACAGTTGATCCTTGAACAACACAGGGCTGAGCTGCATAGGTCCACCTATAAGTGAATGTTCTTCTGGCTCTGCCATTACTGAGGCAGCAGGACCAACCCTCAGTCTCCTCAATGTGAAGATGATAAGGATGAAGACCTTTGTGGTGATCCACTTCCACTTAATAGATAATACATTCATTAAATTTATTGTCCTTATTATTTTCTTCATAACATCTTATTTCCTAATGAGTCATGGCTTCTCTTCATTTCAACACAAAGATATTTATCCACTTACCATAAGATGCAGTCAAGTCCCCACAAAAGAGGCAAGTGTGGCTTTTGAAACAGTTGAAAACCCATGTATAACTTTTGACTCTCCAAAAACTGTCAACTTAGTGTTACAATAAAATAAGCTAGAGGAAAGAAAATGTTTTTAATGTTTTCTACACAGACTTAAAAATAATAACTTTTTTTTGCCCAAGTATAAACCGCTATATGAAATTGTTCTAGTTGGAGGAAAGAGAAAAGTATGATTCTGCTGATTCACCTTTGACTACTGGAATTGGAATATCCAGTTACACACACACACACACACACACACACACACACACACACACACACACAGAGTATTGAAACACTGATATGAGTTGAATTATGTCCCCTCAGATTCATATGTTGAAGTCCTAACCCCTGGCACCTCGGAATGTGGCTTTATTGAAAATAAGGCTGTTGCAGAGGTAATTATTGAAATGACATCATACTGGACTAAGGTGGGTCCCTAACCCATATGCCTGATGTCTTTATAAGAACGTGGGATTTGGATACAGGTAGTCACATAAGGAGAATGCTGTGGGAAGATTGGAGTGATGTTACCACAAGCCAAACAACTCCCCAAAGCAAGCAGAGGACCTGGAACAGATCCTTTCCTAGAGCCTTCAGAGGGAACATAGCCCTGCAAACACCCTGGCTTTGGACTTCCGGCCCCAGAACCGTGCAAGAATAAATAAATGTCCATTGTTTAGGCCACTCAGTTTGCAATACGTTGCTATAGCAGCCCCAGGGAATGAATACATACATTAACACATGATGTGTACATGTTTTTATTTTTCCTCTAGTTAAAAAAATGATGGGGGAATTCATTTAGCTTGCCTATAGAGGTAGTAGGCAAGATCTTTCAGGGTTAAATTTTGGACTCTGAGACTCAGTTTATAGATTCACATCCCGATTTCTCAATTTCTAGCTATGCTGACTTACACAAGTTATACAACCTCTCTTGGTGATGGCTATCCCATTTGGGAGAAAAACAAGGGAGGTTATCCTAAGGGGATCTTCCTCTCCAAGCTATGTTGAGGATATAAGACTTAATGTGTGAAGATTGGGTGTGGTGGCTCATGCCTGTAATCCTAGTACTTTGGGAGGCCAAGGTGGGCGGATCACCTGAGGTCAGGAGTTTGAGGCCAGCCTGGCCAACATGGTGAAATCTCATCTCTACCAAAAATACAAAAAATTACTCAGGCATGGTGGTGCACCCCTGTAATTCCAGCTACTTGGTAGGCTGGGGCACAAGAATCACTTGCACACAAGAGGTCAAGGCTGCAGTAAATGGAGATCACACCACTGCACTCTAGCCTGGGTGACAGAGTGAGACTCTGTCTCAAAGAAAAAACAAACAAACAAAAAAGGACCAAACATCCCGTGTTCTCACTTATAAGTGGGAGCTGAACAATGAGAACACATGGACACAGGGAAGGGAACAACACACACTGGGATCTGTGGGGAGATTGGATGGGGAGAGAGAGCATCAGGAAAAATAGCTAATGCATGCTGGGCTTAATACCTAGGTGGTGGGTTGGTAGATGCAGCAAACCACCATGGCACACGTTTACCTATGTAACAACCTGCATGTCCTGCACATGTACCCTGGAACTTAAAAATAAAAATAAAATAATTAGTTCAGAAGTCGAGACCATGAAGTCAAGACTGCTCAACCTAACTAAAAACACAGAGTCCTAGAGAATGCACATGTTGTCCACCCAAATCCTTTCTATCTGTCTTAATAGTTTCAATAATGCTATATTTCTGGTATGTGGAGCTGTGGTTATGGTTCCCCAGCTGAACTACATTTCCCAGCATCTCTTGTGGCTAAGTGAAGTCACGTGACTGCACTCTGGCAAATGGTGGGTCACCTCTATTTCTGAAGCTGAAAGATACTTTCATTATTTCACAAAAAGTTGTCTTCTAGCATGAGGAACACCATGGTGAGTCAATCTTGCATTTGGGGAGAAATTGCTGTCATGACTCAGTAGATCTAATGGAGTAATCTTTTCCCTTTGTTTCTTGAATGCAAAAAAAAAAATCTGAGGAATAACTTAAATTTAAATTTTTCCCAGGATTCCAGTTATCCAGAGAATTCCTGGGACCCCTGTGAGAACCTTTACACATCCCCCCATCCTCGCTTTACTTGAACACCAAGAGCATAAAGATACTTTTTGAAAATTTAATTTCCCCCTCAATTTTTTTTTTCCTGTTACGTACATTTTCTTAAGTTAACCAAGTCCCCAAGTTTTCTCATTAAGTCTTCAAACAACATAAGCTTTGTCTTCTTAGGATAATTGCTAAGAATAATAGATCTTTCCAATATTTTTTGCTGGAAGAATTTTTGCTTGAATTCCATAGGCATTCAGTTCCCTGAATGCGTTGATGATCTTTTGAGTTGCTTGGGAAAGATTCTCCTCCTTCTTTCCAGGATAAATTCACCTTAAATATTTGCTGATCTTTCATCATAATGATGGGAGGAGTATAATTTACCAAGAGTTTATGTTTCTGCAGACATTTTCCAATTTGACTTTCAAGTTGTGTGTTTTTTGACTTGTTCATTTTGGAGACTTTTCATATAATCTGTATGTGCAACTGCTATTTTATCCACTTTCAGATAATTATATGTAGATTTGGTTGCTTTTTCTTCCAGAGACTTTAAAGACTCATTTATCTTAACACATAAATCAGTTTCATCAACATTCCTTCTGATTTCTAGCAAGTCTCCACCTTCTAATGCATTTAGCTTTAATGGCAAGAGCTCACCATCCACCACATCATCTCCAAGAATGGCAGCCTTATCTCTGTCTTCAGCAAGTGTTTTCCAACATTGTTTGTGTGTGTTCATTAAATTCACTCAGTCTTTCTTTGCATCCATTGGCTTCCTGGGAAATAAAGTTTATGCAGCTATGAAAATGGAAATTTTCATTCACACCATCTTCTATTGCCATCTTAAGTGAGACTCTTAAATCTCATAGGTATTTCCATTTTACTCATTGACGTATGTCATGTTGAAGTGTATTGTGATGGGGCCAGTGGATTTCAAATACTATCAAACTTATTCCTTTCGAGTATTTTGAAACAGTAACATTTCTTTTCATGCATGCACAGATATGGTCCTGTTCATTTTAACAGTTCTTTTTTAGGATTCAAATTCTAAAACCATCTGTAGCAAACCATGTAATTCTTTCATCAAAATTCTTGCTGTGAATTCATCAGTGTTTTCAGTACATGCTATTTTCATACCGCCATTAATCTTTTTTTCAATTAAGTTCATTTAGATGGTCAGAAATGTCAGATAATCAAGTCATTTGAAGGTAATAACTCACCTTCAAAAATTAGTGGCTTGGGTATAGTTTTCCCAAAAAATAGGCTGGGTGTAGTGAATCACACCTGTAATCTCACCACTTTGGGATTGCTTGCGCCTAGGAGTTCAAGACCAGCCTGGGAGACATACTGAGACCCTATCTCTAGTAAAGATTAAATAATTATCTGGGTTTCATGGTGCACACCTGTAGTCCCAGCTACATGGGAGGATCACTTGAACTCAGGAATTCAAGATCGTAGTGAGCTATGATTGCATCACTGCACTCCAGCTTGGGCAACAGAGTGAGACTGTTAGAAGGAAGGAAGAAAGAAAGGAAGGAAGGAAGAAAGGAAGGAAGGAAGGAAGGAAGGAAGGAAGGAAAGAAGGAAAGAAGGAAGGAAGGAAGGGAAAAAAGTAGATTCTTTTTGTCCATAAACTTGTGATGAGACACCAGCTTTGGAAAGCTGCCTTGCATTGGTAGAAATAGCAGATGGCAAGATTCTGTTATTATTTTCTGCTGTGAAGTTCAAAACAGTCAGAAGTGGGCAGCTTTTATTTTTTTCTGAAATTTATCCTTCTGACATCAGACTCAGACCTAGAGGACATTTTTTAATGCCATCTGACAGATCTAAAACACATCATCATCTAAGAGTACCATGCAAAAGTGTCAGCTGTCCTGTCTGCTTGGCTTCATTGATCCAAACCACAGGGTTGACAGTTTTCCTTCAAATGGATAAAGTGAGGGATTCTGCAATTACATGAGGCATTTGAGTCAAGGTGACACTTGCTTCTTGACTTCACAGATGTCACATGTTGCCTTTGAGGACTTGCTAAAGAGTTCGGACTTTTCCGACTTATGTTTTCTGTGCAGAAGTCACGTTTTGTGGTGAGGAC